CTACACATGACACGCCGGGCGAAAACATTGTAGTGCCCACTTGTGGGAAGCAATATCAAGTGTCAGTTTTTCGCGGATCCTATCAATATCGTTAGAGTTTAGAGTCACTCCTCGACCACAAACCCTCAAAAAATCCATCTAAAAAATCTCAAAATAAAAATATGCATATGCACAGAGCGTACAGCACAGTTCTGAAGGTTTGAGACGTGGCAAGAGACTCCAACTTCAGACCTTCGCGCCCCCAGAATTTGTCGCCCTAGGCACTGTCAACATAGCACGCGGACAAAGCCGAGGGCGAAAACTATTACACAAATAAAGCTCGAACTTTCAATGCGAAGGTCTTCGACAAAGTTAAGTACGTAGGGTCTCTAAAGCAAACCTATCCATAAAATTCAACTTTATAGTGCACCAACGAACCAGATGGGTGGTTAACATTTAACCTCTAGCTTAACAGAGCACAACTTTAACTAAACACTCTTAATACACCTTAAGACTTATATAGAAGATGTATTTTCGTTTAACTGAAGGAGAAATTAAGTTTGTTAAGTGGTGAACGTGGCTGTCATCCTGTCACCGTGTAAGAAAGCAACTGAACATCCATTGTGCTAAATAATGATTTTATTTCGTGGATATAAATCAGAGTAGTTAGAAGGTTATTAAATAGTTGGAGATCGTGGCTTTTCATAATGATGGCTAACTTTCCTAATAGGAGTATCCTACACCTAAGTATACCTATCACATAGACTATGCTATGTATTCTTTAAGTGTGGGAGAGCCAAGCTTTGGCACGAATTGGTCAACTCGACCGGCGTGAAACAACCACAGCGTTGTGTTTCGCCGTGTGAGTGTGGTTACCGGAGTCTCAATCTGTCCTCTCTCCCCATCCCATCCCAATGCTTAAATATCCGAAAGCCTTATTCCCAAAAAGCCGGCAACGCAATCGTAACTCCTTTGGTGTTGCGTGTGTAAATGGGCGACGCTGATTGCTTACAATCAGGTAAACCGTAGGATCGTTTGTCAACCTATCCCTAAATAAAAAAATAAGGCTAGTTATTCGTAAATCGCTAGTCATTTATAAAAGTAGGCTTTAGCCTAGTCCAGTACCTAATAGTTTATCACAAACCGTATTTTGCACTTAAATGACCATAATAAATTGCCTATATAAACTCATTGACAATTCACACACACAGAAGCTACTCTTCCTTCATACACAAGCTACCAACAAGAAATACCTATCTTAAAACGATCAAATAGAACTCATCTACTTAGTTGACGCTTCCGGACCGGTCCGGCAGTACGGCATTGTTACGGAGCGAGGTCACACGGACAGATAAGACTTCTAATTATACATAATTACAGGTTTCAAGCCAAAACCTTCGAGGCGGGCTCCACGACGGCAAGGTCGCTGTACCTATGTGAGTAGGTACCTAGTTATGGTAATTTGTAAATTGTCAAAAGTAACTACGCCTTTTAAGCTATTGTTACCTATTAGTAGAACAATCGGTAATGGGTTAAGGTTTAGTTAAATTGGAACAATTATTATAGTTAGCGACTTATATTCTTTTTATTTTATGCTGTCTTTATTGGTTTTTAAACGAAAAATACTGCAGTATTGTTTCGATAATGGAACTCGGAGTGCCTTTTTTTAAGAAACGTTGCCCCCGTGTGTTTTCCTCTTATGTCGTGGGTGGCCCAAGGACATCCGCAACAACATAGAAGTTACGAGTGCGTTGCTGGTCTTTTGGGGATTAGGGATATGGAGATTTCGGGATTGAGGAAGGATTAGGGAAGGGGTAGGATTGGGCCTCCAGTAACGTCACTCGCACGATGAAACATAACAATATGGTTGTTTCACGCCGGTTTTCTGTGAGGCATAACTCCGATCGAGCCGATCGATTTATGCCGAAGCATGGCTCTCCCACACTTACGATGGGAGATGATGAGAATTATCGACTGTAAAAATAAGACCAAAAAAAATCTGTTCACGTATTGCCCGTCAAAGTTTAATGCAACTCACAACGCTACAATTCTGACAATGACAATTACATGAACGCATAACAAAAAAATGGAACAACAATGTATGATACCTCAAAAGAGGAAATATTTCACGTTCGTCCTCATTTCTTTTGCCGATTGTTGTGCCTGTGACTATATGCACAGATTGCTCATTGCTCACGTTTTCGTGCCCACAGCACAAACGTCAGGCGTGACGTTCGCACCACGACATACAAATTACGTTGTAAAAATTGGAAGGCCATGTTTTACCAAATTTCGAAAATGCTAATTGGTTAAAATTAAAATGTCCAAAAGTTGTCCAAAGAGGACCTAATTGGGCAGTGCATCGCTCTCGGGGACAGTCGACACGCTTTGTTATGACAAAAATTAATAAATCATTAGGCTCGCAGAAAACCGAAAAAGAAGTGCGGGCAAAGAATGCTTTTATGTCGTAAAGATTGACTTATAAGTGTGGGAGAGCCATGCTTCGGCTCGACCGGAGTGTTACCACGACCTCTCAGAATACAGCGAAACAACCACAACATTGTGTTTGGCCGTGTGAGTTTTGGAAGCCCAATCCTTCTTTCCCTCCCAAACCCAAATCTCGTAAGCCCTTATCAGAAGGTCAGCAATGCATTCGTAACTCCTGTAGTGTCGTGGGTACCCATAGGCACCGATTGCTTATTATCAGGCGATCCGTCCTTTCGTTTGCCTAAAAAAACATTTCGGTGATACGTGTAACTGTAAATAGCACACATTATGAGCTATTCATAATGTTCTACTGCTGAACTATAGGGCCATTCTCTGAACATTACCTTTTTATTTCATACAAAGACTAAGGTAACACTTTAATTATAAATAATAAGGAATGAACATCCACAGTTAAACTGGTAGTGAGCCTGTATTTTAGCTTACAGTGCCGTTTACCCTCAGAAGCAATACCTACACTAGGTAACCTAAATTAGCAAGATGCATAAGAAGTTCGAAGTTATTTAATATGAAATAACGGTAAATGGAAAAAGGTAAACTTAAGTAAGTACCTACTCGGACGGCTAGTAAGACTCGCCGCCAGACCAGAACCAGACCCGAGCGTACGGCGCGTATTGTTCCGCGCGCCTCAAAGAGCCAATAGACCACCACAGACGGGGCCCTATAGGGCTGATGTTCAGCCGGGGTTGCGGGGTAAGCGCAATGAGACACCGAGACCTCGGCCCAGAGCAGGAGAAGGAACAGGGTGGTTTTTAGTCAGTAAGAGTCTGACACTCCCTCCTGCCCAACCCTGGGCAGGAGAAGTCACTTGATGATTTTACCCTCACAAAAAAAAAAAAATAAGTACCTACTAATAACCATTACCTTAGAAACTAGTTACTCTCGCGCGGTTTCACCCGCTGCTCGGCTCCATTTAGCCGTAGCGTGATGTTTTATAGCCTATAGCACTCAGGAACATTGTAGCTATCTATCAGTGAACGAATTTTGGAAATCGACCAGCGGTTCCAAAGATTACCCCCTACATACAAACTAACAAATATTATAATAATATTTCTCTCTTTATAATATTAGTATAGAAGTACCTATAGATATAGATAAAGATAAAGGTAGGTAATGTGCGCATGGAAATCCACAATTCCAATCGGTTTTATAAAGCATAAACTACGCACGATGCGTTATGGTTCGGATTAAAACAGGCTGGATGGCCGGCGGGCGGGTCACGACTTGTGACTGTGTGCAGTTAATCACGCACCCGCTACGGTTCAGTAACTAGGAATGGGTTTACAGGTGAATACTTACGTACAGGCCTCTCTCTCATTGGGGTAAGCAGATACATTGGAACGCTACATCTATACCAATTATTATAAAGAGGTATTTGTAAGTTTGTATGTAGGGGGTAATCTTTAGAACGGCTAGTCGGATTGCCAAAATTCTTTCACTGATAGAAAGTTACAATTTTCCTGAGTGCTATAATAAGATATAAAACATCACGGTACGATCAAATGGAGTCGAGCAGCGGGTGAAACCGCGTGAGCACAGCTAGTCTAGTATATAAATAATGAATCGCAAAATGTATGCAATTGATATGCGCTCGTGTAACTCAAGAACGCCTAGACCAATAACCTTTTCGTTGTTAGTGAGATAGTTAGACCCGTGCAAAGCAAGTGACATAATAAGTTTCACGTTGAAATTTTTAGCTATTTTTGTACATAGAGTATTTATAATAAGTTAATATGCAAAATGCCAATAATATTAGCTGTCTCTAAGTAAAAAAATATTTCATTAAAATAGCATTTAATAAAAGTGTCATCTTTGACTAATAATGTAATTTCCTTATTGCGAAATTCCATATTAAATATTTATCTGCCCAACATGGAATCTGAATTCCAGCCTAGTGTTATTATCGGGCACACTGTTATAGCAGCGGTAAGACCCCATTTGAGGAGTGGCTTGAAAGACACCACGGCGGCGTCCTCACCTTCAGCGGGAGGAAACGCCTGAGTGCCGTCACTTTGAGGACCACCTAGAGGACACGGTTGGGCATGCGGTGGCGCTGTGCCCTGCTAGGGCTCCGGTCAAACCGACCAATTCGTGCCGAAGCATGGCTCTCCCACACTTAAATGTAAAAAAATGTCAAAAATCCATGGCATTCTACTGCCTGACATGTTTTTTATAATTGTTCTTTAAAATTAGAAAACCTGTAATATCCTAAAAATAAAAACTTGACGAGTTGTCTGTTAAGTTGCTGTCAATTTAAAATAGTTTCTTGTTTTTAAGAAAATCTTTGATAGCCTATAAGTATAGGTCTGTTTAGTAAAATAATTTCAATTGAACACCTATAAAGTTGATATTTATTTACACGGAGATAGCCTAGTACATAAAAATTAAATGGAATTCGTTAGTCTCACTAAATCTAGAGAACGGCTTTCCCGATTTGGCTATTTTCGGTCTTGAAATATTTTAGAGGTCAATAGTGCTGTACAATAAAGAACAAATTCGCATAACAAAAATAAACTTTATTTTTCTTTACAACCTTTTTTATGTTTTAAAATTTCAACAGGAGTTAAATACAAGGTTTGCTCGCAAGTTTCACACTTATACTCTTTAGCATTAGGTTTCATTTCCCTTGAAGTTTTCGGTGCGTCTTCTTTATTGGTTTTTACTTCTTTTTGGGAGCAAGTAAAGTGTTGGTGTTGTAATCTTTCTAAAGGGGATAGGCAGACTGTGAGCTCACAATTAGGGCAAGTCCAAGGAATATTGTACATATCTTCATAATTTTTGGCGCTCCAAACTGAATCCACGACACTGAAAAAAATCAACAATCTGTTATTGTCCACTATTACACCATAACGTATGGTTGGATTATTAAGAAATGGGATGGTTATAATGGCTAATTTTTATGTGATATGTCAGCAAACGAGCAGGCGGATTACGTGATGGTAAGCAATCAGCCGCCCATGAACACCCGCAACAACAGAGAGGTGACGAGTGCGTTGCCGACCTTTTGGGAATTAGGGATTTGGGAGATTTAGGGAATGGGAGGGATTTGGGGAGGGTAAGGATTGGGCCTCCGGTAACCGCATTTAAGCCCAGAAACTCAACACTGTGGTGGTTTCGCGCCGGTTTTCTGTGAGGCCGTGATATCACTCCGTTATTAACAGTCTAACCACAGAACAGAAAATTAAGTAGAAGTGCCCCTACACTCTTTCAAAAGGAAAACCAGTGTCGCCAAAATCACACATTCGCAAATCAAATTGTCCATTACACACATAAAAAACAGCTATATAATTGGGTACAACTTTAGCAAATCATCTTCTAAATGTTGTTAAAAATTGAGTCTTATAACAATGAGCGAAAGTTGTTATCATTTCACATGTCACAATCAATAAAGGCGTCTATCGTGTAAAAAACTTAAATAAAACAATTTACAAACGGGTTCAGCCACTCAATGCTAGATGGCGCTGTAACAAATTCATTCTATTTAAAACGCTAACTTCTTTGAAATAGATGTCATATTTGTATGCACTTGTACCAATAGACATTACTATTTTGCTACTCAGATAGGGCAGGGTATCCCAATATATCGATGTTTATGTATTTGTGTGAGCAAAATAACTTATCGACACGATATACCTACAAATGATCAGTAATGAAAAAGGTTCTTATTAAAATATTTTTTTAAGATTTAATGTTTTTTGGAGAGGGTCAAGTTATTATTAAAGATTCCGATTTTAACATATAAAAGCACTACGCGCTCCTACAAGTTTTACCTCCTTTCCAACAAAAATAGAATTATTAAAATCGGTTCATAAATAACGGAGACGCACGAATAAAAATCATGTACAAAATTATAAAATAAAAATGGTGATTACCGCACCTACCACTGACGGATGCACGCTGTGTGTGGTTAAAACGTTGATATGTCTATGCAATCTTAGTTAAACATTTATGAATTATACACAAAAATTGATAAAAAATAATTTTCTGAACGATGATGATGTAAAATTATCGATACGAACCTATTTTACGAATATGTCGCATCCCTAAATGGGTAGCGTCGAAACTACTGGAATTTATTGTATATAACGTCACATAACGAACAAGTAGATTTAAACTTAATTGTAATGAAAATAAGGCCCTTTATAGTTTGCATTTAAGTAATGAAATGTGATGTTTACATTAAAATCAAATATATTTAAAATTAACAAAGGTTAATACTCAAATATGATACGATACACCACCACAAGACACATTTTTTTTTCTGCTTACTTTTTTGCAGTTGAAAACCGCACAACAAGGCATCATTTCTAATATATTTCGTGTTTCTTAGAGACAACCATGACACCAATCATGTCAACGGAGCGAACGATTCTGACAACAAATGTGCCAAAATGTTGTAAATCTACACATCATGTTGACTAGCGCGCGATGTCTGAGCGGCACTTCCACTGTATTTTCTATTCCGTGAGTCTAACACTCCCTATCGCCCTACCCACGCATCACGGCGGCGGGAAAAGTAATTTGAAGATTTCTTCGTTACAACATTAGACACAGAATCCTATGAACGACATCTTAAGAAATAATTGTAAGTTTTACCTAACATACATAATCTTTTTATAAATAAATTGATGACATGACATGGTTTTATATGATTAAAGGCGAAAGATTATTACAGTATAAGTACTTTTTTATTTGATAACGCAAGCGAAACCGGTTGTAGAAGACAAGTAAGTAATAGTAAGCTTTCAAAACAGTTACTTATTGATTTGATTGTAGTTTACACAGTGGCTGGGCAAACAACTACTGCGCAAAGTCTCGCGGTTTCGATTCGATGTGTATAAAATTGTATATTTATAAAAGGACACTAAACGGAGAAAATCTTAAAGTAGGGCCAGGTTTGACTAAAAAAAACTCGATAACGTCATTGTATTTATGTCAACGGTCTGAAAACGGCGAACAAAATCCTAGTTTAGGTTCCTATGTTTAAAAAATATGTTCATAATAATAACTTACCAATTATAAACAACATTATCAGTAACGTAAACGCCTCCTTTTTTCTCATGGGGTCTGCAAACGAAGTTCTCGTCGAAGGGGTTGGGGTCTATACTGGGATGAGCCTCATCATTCCCACAATATAAGACCTTAAGGTCACCTGGTAATAATCTCTTGATAGTATAATATACTTCAGATGTCATATAAGTACTCATATCACAAGCCAACTCGTGTTGAACTTCTTCATATGAAATTTTCTCTTGTTTCTGTTTCTCCAATTCACTTTCGACCGATTTCGTTGGGTTCGCATCTGAAATTAAGTTTTTTTATTAAAAACATCTATTTTTTCTTTGATTACGGGGCCAAACATTTAAGTGACAGTTAGAGTTGGGTGGGACTACAGAGTGTGGGATGTTTGTCTCACTGAAACCACCCTTTTTTGTGAGGAGAAAATCATCCAATGACTACTCTCGCGCTGGGTGAGTGTCAGACTCTTAGTGACTTAAAACCCCTCCTTTCCTGCTTTAGGCCGAGGGAGCGGTAATTTATTGCTCTAGTCGCTACCCCGGCTACTGAAAACAATCTGATGGTCACCAAAGACCCGGTCTTTTTATAGATCTGGAATATCTCTTCTCTAGATAAGTTTAGAGCTAATAATATGACCTAAGGCTCGAACAAACGTTTACCATATTTGTTAAATAGCTTGCCTGTGGACATTAGAAGAGTAACTAATAAAAACAGGTTAAAAAGATTATTAAAGGCGCACCTATTGGATAGTATACACACACCATGAAACAAAGTATACATAGAACAGTACGGCCGCCGTATCTTGGCGAGTCTGAAGTTAGCCGTTTGTCTGCGCAGCTAATCGGCTAACTTCAGACTCGCCAAGATCGGCGTCGACGTCGGCGGTATTGTAAATTATGCTTAATCACACACTATTATTCATAAATTCCTAACTTAAAAACATAAAAGACTCACCTGAGTCTACAGACAAACTGTTTAGAACAGTTTTGTGGACCTATATGTTACACTAAGGTTAGGGTTTCGCACCAGCTTGGAGCAGGAGAAGAAACGGGGTCATTATTTTAGTTAGTAAGAGCCTAACCCTCCCTATAAAACCGCCAAACCTAGTCGTACAAGGAATAAACGGCTCAGTGTCGCTACTTATCTAAAATGCAATAAAACGGTGAACTGTATACTCACCCTGAAGCCGTCTATTTACCAAAGCATCCCATCTTTGGCGTAGTTTCACGGCTTTAAGGAGCAATTTTAACCCAGTTTCAGGGAATGGAAACTCCAATAACAGCCAGGAGTCGCAAACAATTCTGTAAATAAAAAAAAAAACAATTTTAAAAACAAGTTTAGCTCTGTGTTAAATATCCAATGATTTATACTAATCACTATATAGTAAAAAACAAAGTCGCTTTCTCTGTCCCTACATCCCTATGTGTGCTTAGACATTCAAAACTACACGACGGATTTTAATGTTTTTTTTATAAATAGAATGATTGAAGAGGAAGGTTTATATGTATAATAACATTAATTAAATTGTGGAACAATTTAGTATCGGCTTTGCAACCGTGCGAAGCCGGAGCGGGTCGCTGTACATATAAAATTAAGCCTTTTTTTATTCTCCGAAATGGTACTGGTCCAGATATGTAACAGAGTAGCGAGTTTTCATTATTTATATTACAATTAAAGTGTAATAACTTTAAACTAAATAGTGAATAAGTTACTATCGTATGTTGGACTGTGTTGAATATTTGTTTAATAACTCACTTCCACATAAGTTATTTTTATCCATATCATTATATATCGAGAAAAACACGGCACAATTCTCTCTCATAAAATCTAGAAGAATCTCAAATCTCAAAGAATCTGCGTGAATTTATAAAAATGCAAAATTAACGTTTATACAAACCTTGTAAAACCAATATTGGTATCTATCGAATGCGCTAACAGCAGCAGAGTTTGCGCAGCGGGCATGCGCATAGAATTCACTATGTAAGGCTTAGTCGTCTCCAATAGCGATCTGAAAATAAACATCAGTATTTTTTACCTTGGATTTTCAGTACAGGAAGATGAAGAACTACAATACCGCCAACGTATCTCGGCGAGTCTGAAGTTAGCCGATTAGCTGCGCAATGCACAATTTTGTTCCTAAAAGATCTATTGCGCAGACAAACGACTAACTTCAGACTTGCCAAGATACGGCGCCCGTACTGTATTTTGTTATAGGACAGGTCGTAAAACTAGCTGCGAATAAAGCTGAAGTTGTTAGAAATTTGGATTTAGGGTAAAGGAGGGACGAAAGACAAAAAAGGACATTCGCCTACGAATCAAGCTAACAAGTTTAATTATTGTTTATTGGATTAGACCTCTTTTCTACTAAGCATACGAAATTATTAGTACAAGGTTCTTCACGATGTTTTCCTTTGCCGTATGTCGGTGTCTAAATAAACTTAGAAAGTACTTATAACTCAGATGTCCCATTCACACTTTAGAACGAGCAAATAGCTACTCTAAGAGTTTTGTTTGTCGTTCAAAGCTCTTTTGGTACTTGCATACTTCTACACTTTGGAACGAGCAAATAGCTTCACTAAGAGGACTGACCGACAGACTGACACGATATCTTCAAAATTTTGTTTTGACGTTCAAAAGTGCCTGTAAAGGTCTAATTGGAATAAATGATTTTTGACTTTTTGACTTTGACTTTGACTTGCTTGTCTGGTATAAGCGAGCGGTTTCGGACCAACGGACTCAAACATGAGAAGCCCGCTTTAACCAATGGATAAAAAAATCATCATCAGCCTATAAGTGCCTACTGCTGAGCAAAGGCCTCTTCTCACCCGGAGAAGGTTAGAGCATTAATCACCACGCTTGCGCTTGCAATGCGGGTTGGCGATTTCAAACTTGTAATTAGAAATTATAAGTCCAGGTTTCCTCACAATGTTTATCTTCACCGTATGTCAGTGGTGTCTAATTAATCATAGTAAGTACATATATAACTCGGTAAAGTCACATTGGTACTTGCCAGGTTTCGAACCCACACCCTCATGAATGAGAAGCGAGTTGCTTAACCTCCGGGAAACCACGTCGACAAAAAAAAATATTTATAATATACTCACAGATAACACAAAATCTGGTGTTTAGAAGACACGGGCAACTTGCCCTCGTAGCCTACGGCGTTGAGTTCCCTCATGTCCGACAATATGTCGGCTTCTGTCAGCTGTAAAACTCGTGACTGCTTGCCGAAGTACGATGTCGGGTGAAGGAACACGAACGGTTTACTCCAAGTGTGGTATAGTTGTTCTGCTACTGACTGTGGAGAAATATTTGTACTATATTTTTTTGATAAAATTTGAATTCATTTTAGCATTTTTTTTTAATGTGGGCCTTGCATGCTTTGACACGTATGGGCCGGCACGACTGGTGTGATACCAAGGTTATTATGATATTACAGAAATCCAGCGTGAAACCAAGCTTTAGTTATATTTTGCTTTGTGAGGAAGTTTTACTTTCAAGCCGATTTTCTGTGAGGCCGTGGTATCACTGTGGCGGAACATTGTTCACATGATCATAATAAAATTTTTGAGGATAAATAATATGTATGATCATAACAAACGATACCCAAGGCTACTATTAGAACTGAGAATGACATAATCACAATTCAAAAGAATGCTTACAGATTTTATGGTTAAAAACGCGTACTATTCCATTGGTGAATTCTTAACAGAGGGAAGAACCAAATAGTAATTATTAGAAATTCCGTTATTTGACTGTATTTAATGATATTTATAATTAAATTTTTGTAACAATTTGTAAAACCTTTATAATAATATTGTTTTTATTCCTTATTAATACGAGTATAATAAAATGTGTGCGCCTATAAAAGGTTAAACATAGCGATCCTATTGTATTCCATAGTAATTACATCTTATCTGTCCCTATGTTCCACAAATAAATAATTTGAATTTGAATAAAATGTTATTACTTACATTTTTTTTTTGAGGGTATAGATATCCTTTTACTTGATAACAAAATATAATATTTTACCTTATGGTGATTGAATCCGTCCGCTACAGCTACTTGTGGATACAATGCTCTGCATAGAACCAACTGAAAATAGTAAAACGGCTAATATCATATTCATTTTTAACCGTTTTTTTTCTATACATAATTTATCTATGAGGATACGTCAACCACAAACGTACAAACATTATACATTGAATGAAACCAACGAAATTAGATAGAACTCTACTGAGGAACCGCTATACGGGTAAACTAGGTGACCTCGCAAGCTTTATGACATCCGAGAAAAATACATAATAAATATAATTAAATATCTTCTGCCGTTACTAACGGTTTCTGAAAGGCTTGTCAACTCTAAAATTAACTAATCTCCTATTAAATCTCTTGTCAAGTCATCTGATTGGTTGTTGATAATTCAGTCAACCAATCAGATGACTTGACAGGAGATTAAATAGATTTTAACATTGATCGGCCTTTCGGAAACCGGGTGTAAGAATATCAAATTATGTCAACTATCAATAATTATTGCCTTTGTTTTAGATAACTAAATAAATATGTGTGTGTGAGGTAACCAGAGGCCCAATCCTTCCCCTATCGCCCGGCTGATTCTCCGAAAACCCTAATATTATTTAACAAATTAATTAAGCACGTTACCAATTTAATATCATCAATATTTCCATTGTATCGATAGAAAACTGGTTTCATAACCCCATAAAAAATTTCAAAATGAAATTTGTGTTATAACTTACATAATGTTTTACTTTATATTGAGGATAATACCTAACGTTGATTAATTTTGCTTTATTTATCTCTTATCTCAACCTCCCCCCTCCCCTATTCTCAATCACCAAATTGTGAAATGTCTCTCACCTTCAACATAACAAGATCCCGTCCACTGGAGGCGCTGGATCCCGCAATAAGCGACTGTATGCGCTGAGCATCATTCGTCAGTCGGAACTCGACATCCCTGATGTCTATATCTTCATCCTCATTGGCATTATCATCTATTATCTCCCACGAGCTCATTTTTAAACGCTTCTTGCGTTTTAAATCGTTCGCTGCTTTTTGTTTGAATTGCCTGTAATAAATTTAATTGAATCATAGCGGTAAATTCAAGTAAGTCGTTATTTTTATGCCATTTTTCAATAGTAATTACCGTGAGACATAGCTACTAAATTTATTCAAAACTAGCGACTCTCGCGCGATTTCACTCACTGCTCAGCTCCATTTGATCGTAGCGTGATGTTTTATAGCCGACAGCACTCAGAAACATTGTAGCTAATATATCAGTGAAAGAATTTTGGCAATCCGACCAGCGGTTCCAAAGATTACCCCCCTACATACACACTTACAAACTTACAAATTTTACCTCTTTATAATATCAGTATAGAAGTCGGCAAACGATCAGACGGATTACCTGATGGTAAGCAATTGGCGCCGCCCGCAAGAACGGAAGATTAACGAGTGCGTTGCCGACTTATTGGGGATTAGGGATTTGGAGATTTTTGGATTGGGGAGGGAAAGGATTGGGCCTACGCTACGTAACACGGCGAAACCGAACGCTGTTGTTGCTTTACGTCGGTTTTTTATGTGTGTGGTATCACTCCGGTCGAGCTTACCCATTCGTGCCGAAGCATGGCTCTGCCACACTTAAAACATACTCTACTAGTTTCAAGTCACAACGGGACTCTTATTCATGAGCAGCGTACGCGTCGTAGCGACGACGTCGCATAGTCAACTTGAACTAGGAGAGATTTTTTCAGTTTATTCACATATGTCGTTATTATTAATTAATTCATTAAAATGATTATCCCACGATAGTTTATCACTACACAAAAAGCTATAGAGATTTTCCAAAATTTATTCAATCGCTAATGTAAAAATATTTTATTGAGATATATAACTTACCGTCGCGCATCCTTCAACTGCTTAACCTGACCATGTCGCAGAGCCCTTTCGGCTGACGACATAGATTCAGGTTCAGGAGTCTCCATCAAATTACTTGACTGAAACAAAAATTAATATTGAAATTAATAAATTCCAAAAAAAACAAAATATTTCAAAAGTATCATTTCTTACTCATCTGCAGGTGTATTTTCGAAAATTATAGGTCATTAATTACAAGCTAAATTAAGCCTTAAACGAACCAGCTATAAAGATCTAATTGAGTCTGTACTTAAAATCGATGTTTCCCATCTCCCATCGTTCTACTTCATTATTTGTGTTTGATCCTCTCATAACAAAGACGCAGAATAAAGATAAAACATTCAATAACGACAAACTAAATTAAACCTTATACACATCACCAATAGAGATCTAAATTGCGCAGCCATTTAGTGATTTTGTAAGGGAGCTGTTAATACCTCGCCTTCTGCATTATGGATCGATCACATATAGCGACTTAATTCTCAATTATGAGGTGCAGTATGAAAGTTTAGTATGATAAAAATAACATACATTAATTAATTTAATTACAACCTAAATTAAACCTTAAACCAAGCTACAACAAAGATCGTTATTACGCAGCTAATTTTGTTCATAAAGACGTTTTTCAATGTTTCATCCCTAAGTCGAGCACAATTTCAAGATAACGAAGATTACAAGTGAACATCACTTATTTTATCTGTGTTCTCGGCAACACTATAGCTGCCTTGTGGCTTAAAGGACATGTATCCAGGCCATAAACTTCAAAAAAAAAATAGCTGCCTTGTTAACGCTGTCATCTGTCAACTGTGACAGATTATTAATGTTTTCCCGCGCAAAGAGTGAAAGCGGGGATTCTGGTGGGAAGTTTGACGAGCATTCATACGCTGTTTCTTATAAGAATACTGTTTTTTTATCTTATACATTTGAGAGTATGGTGTTTTACTTAAAACAAATTACATAATTAAGCCTTAAACCAACCTGCAGCAGAGATCTAAGTTGCGCAGCCAGTTTAGTGAGTTCATAAAGGCGTTGTTCTTCAATACCCCGTCTCCTACACCACGCCCTACCGCCGCGGGTATCTCGTTTCTCTCTTAGCCAAGCGCAGTATAACGATAGAAGTGTTAAAGGATCTCCGTGGTCCGATTCATCTGGTCTTCGAGCGTTCTGTAATGTAATAACAATAATTATAAGGTTTTGTCTTTACTTATGATTCTATTTTTGCTTTACTCTCGGTTGTTATCTCCTGTGTCGTGTTTTATTACAAAAATAAATACACAACCAGTCCCAAAACAACAAAATGTGCATCAGAAAGGGCTGTTCCGTGTGGAAATCGAACAAGACACGTTGTACAGTAACCAGTTGCCCAGCCATTGCGCCAACCTTGTAGTCTTGTTTATCTATTTTACAGCTAAATCTATAGTAATACCATAAAGCTACTCCGGCTTTACTGTATAGGTTGTTCAACGTGATATTTTATAGCACATGATGTATTTCATTGACAAGTGAACTATACAACATGTTAAATTCGGATCAATATTTACGGTAATCAACACATTTAAGCAAAAAAGGAAACAAAGAAACTATTCAGATTTATTATTATTTCACATTGTATTTATTTATGTAACTCTAAAAAATACATTTTTAATTTGAATATTACAACTTATTATTTATTTCCTTTAACTTTTTATTATTCGATTGCTCAAGGAAAGTTGGCGATTTCTAGCTTATAATTAAAAATTATAAGACCAAGTTTCCTCACGATGTTTTCCTTCACCATATGTCAGTGGTATCTAAATATTAATCATAGAAAGTACATATAACTCAGAAAAGCCACATTGGTACTTGTCATATTTCCAACCCGCACCCTCATGCCTGCATTTTTAATTCATAAAAAACGAAAAAAAATATTAATATCAACAATCTCAATCTCACCTCACATTCGAAATCCCGATGAGCTCTGGTAGTATAGATGGATCGTATTCCTAGCGCGGCTGCAAGCGCTAGAGCGGAGTCCAGTTTATGAGGAGGTAACGTAGCTACGCCTAGTACTAAAGTCTTGGCTAGGCACACTTCTACTGGCAGATTGGCCAATGCCTTGCCTAAAGCTGTTAGTTTCTCATTTGAAGTTAATGCACCCTGGAAATAATATTTAGAGGTTTTTATTAAAAAAAATTCGTTTTAATTCTGTAAAATAATTGATGAATATTGATAAACTATTTTCGTGTTAATTTTTAAAATAACGGTAATGTATAACTGTCATGATTTTTTCGGTTCTTGTAATGAGTTATAAGTGCATCGTACACATCTGGTCCCATTAAAGATACCTACATGAAACTACAAAAATTACAAAAACACTATCGAGTTGCTTAACAACAAAATATTCTCATATCCAGAACATTTTTTCATCGATTCGAGATAACTAAAATCGTCACTTCATCACATCACAAAATTTATTACCATCGTCAGCCTTTAGGCCTCACAGGAAGGTTTGAGCATTAATCACAACGCTTGTTCAAGGCGGATTGGCAATTTCAACCTTATAATTAGACATTTTAAAGCCAGTTTGCATCACGATGATTTCCTTCACCATATAATATGTCAGTGGTGTCTAAATAATCATAGAAAGTACATATAACTCGGTAAAAGCCACTTTGGTACTTGGTACTTGCCAAGCTTCGAACAACTGGGCTACCACAACAATACGGTAGTTTCCAACTAGTCAAATTCAATACTTTTATCCAAATGTCAAAAACGATACATTTCTATGACATTTGTATGAAAAACTGAGTTATGGCGTCATAACATTTTTGCGTCAAATATCTTACTTATTTCTTAATAATAAGCTAAAAAAATTTAAAACTTGGTGTATCGATCTATCGATGAATAAAAGTATTGAATTTGACTAGTTGGAAACTACCGTATATAAGTTTAAATAGAATAAAATATTTCAATATTTTAGTGTATTTAAACTTCGAATTAAATTATTTTTTACCTAGGAAACTACCCAATTACAATCACAAATTTCGCCAGAATCGAAACAGCTTATCCCCACTTACATGTTGTTTTAACTCCAACAAAGCATTTTCGACGGCATCTTCAGGTGGTGTATCGAGGAAGGGGAACCGTCTGACGTCACTGACACCTAAAGAGCTCATTAGGAGTAATAACGATGCGAGAGGAACGCGAGACACTTCAGGAGTGCTGAAGTCGTCCATTTCATTGTACTGTTCTTGCGAGTAAATGCGGTAGCAGACGCCAGGACCTGGGATGTCAAGACAACTTATTAATATTTTTTAAATGTACAAATAGAAATAGAAATCCAAATCTTGTTATTCATCAATGCAGGTTTTTTTTATGTAAGCAATGATGCTGCCCATGGATTAGAGATTTGAAGATTTAGGGATTGGGGGAGGGGAAGGATTGGGACTCCGGCAACTTCAGTCACATGGCGAAACACAACGCTGTAGTTGTTTCACACCGATTTTCTGTGAGGCCGTGGTATCACTCCGGTGTTATTTTTTTGACTCTTGCTGACTAAAAATCCCCCATTGCTTCTCCTGCTTTAGGCCGAGGCCACGGTGCCCTATTGCGCTTGCCCCGCAACTCCCGCTGAATATCGGCCCTGTTGTGCCCTATCTGTGGTGGTCTATTGGCCTAATTTATAATAAATTTAACCTGTGTTACTCATGGTGACTTTTATATAGAGTATCAAGGCCTCGGCCTGGAGCAAAAGGAACGGGCGGTTTTTAGTCAGTAAGAGCATGACACTCCCTCCACGACTTTTCCCTTCCAAAAAAACGAAAACTTCCGACAAGTAACGGTTGAGGTCAAATCCTGCGCTAGCGTGACCCACATATTGTAGCATATAATAAAACAATATGGCAGTACATTACTATTTGGCCGTTATAGCCATTAACGTATAAGAAGTCATACCTGTTCTCCCAGCACGTCCTTTGCGTTGATCTGCACTAGCTTTCGAAATCCAAAACTCTTTCAATCTCTGCATTTTTGTTGTAGAATCATAGCTCATTTCTTTAACCTGAAATGGTAAACAATCATTAATACAAAGTTTTGTCCTAATCATAATTCTTCTTGGCTCACCAGGTGGCGCTTGGGTAGACTAAACGTATCTTGTACATAAAATTTGCTTTTCGTCGTTTTTCATTGCTGTTCGCTAATCTCGCTAAACCTCGCTGTTGGAACGATTTGGTTTTGAAATATGATAAGTCTTTTTTTATGGAATTGGTGGCAAACGAGCAGACGGATAACCTGATAGTAAGTAATTAGCGCCGCCCTTTGACACCCGCAACGGAGAAGTTACGAGTGCGTTGCCGACCTTTTAGGGATTAGGGTTTTGGAGATTTAGGGATCGGGGGAGGGAAAGGATTGGGGCTCCGTAACCTCTACAAGTGTATTTCTAGATTGGCGACATTTGGTGACAAAAACGGTAGTAGTTGTAACGAAAATTTCTAGCTGGAACTTGGTTCTTTTTGGGACTTCCAAGATTTTAATGAACTCTAGTAAAACTAACCTTGCCAGAATCCACGACGAATCTTATTCCATCAATAGTGACAGAAGTTTCAGCTATATTTGTTGATACTATACACTTTCTAACTCCTTCTGGCGGGTAATCAAACACCTGGAATGACCAAATCAATAATAAGACTAGCTTTTGCCAGCAGCTCCATCGCAGTATCGAAGTAAACAGTAACCTATGATATTCCAGACCATATCTACCATATCTCTGTATGCATATACATAATGTCATCTTTTCACAAAATAGAACCAATTAAATTATGTAACAAAATGAATTGTGAAACTAATTTAAAAATAGTAACCATGGAGTTTCTTGCTCATTCTTCTCAATAGGAATGTACACTTTGGACTGAGCAAATTGCTTCACTAGAGGAGAGACCGACATCATCATCATCAGCCTAAAAGCGCCCACTGCTGAGCAAAGGCCTCTTCTCATTCGGAGAAGGTTAGAACATTAATCACCACGCTTGCTCAATGCAGGTTGGCAAATTTAAACTAATAATTAGAAATTATAAGTCCAGCTTTTCTCACGATGTTTACCTTCACCGTATGTCAGTGGTGTCTAAATAATCATAGAAAGTCCATAATTATAACTCGGAAAAAGTCACATTGGTACTTGCCAGGTTTCGAACCATGCATGCGAAGCGGGCTGCTACCTCCGAGCCACCACGACATTTTTTACCCGACCGGCATACTGACACAATGTTGAACTTTGTGATTTTTTTTTTTGTTTGACGTTTGAATGTGCTTTAGTAGTCTATTTGAAATAAATGATTTGACTTTGATTTTTCATTCAATCCGTTCAGCAGTTTTTACGTGAAAGAGCGACAAATATCCATCCATACTTAAAATAGCTAATTATTGATCAATTTTGAAGGCTGTCAACAAACATTCATTATACTTATACTAGCGGTCGCCCGCGTGGATGTCAATTTTACACCTTTTCAAGATTAAATTTTCTCTACGTACAAACCTTCTCTGGACTTCCATGAATAATTCAAGACCAAAATTAGCTAGCCAAATCGGTAAAGGCATTGTTAAGTTATGACATTACAACGAAAAGTGGCATTGATTTTTATATTATGCTTATATTTAGGTACCTTATCTTGCTCAGCGAGCGACAAACCGCTGTGTAGAGGTAAAACTATCCAATTCTTCGACTTCTCCGCGTACTGCTGAGCTGCATCACATATTGTAGTAATTTCTTGGACCCCGGACAGGAATATTAACAGATCACCTCTCTCGTTACCTGTAATAAAATACGATTTCAATGTTATGTACATTATTAAAAACTAACAGGATAGTTGCAAATTAGTCAAATTCGATACTTCTATTGAAAATCGTTCCCCATTGGACCAAAAAAACAAGAGGAACAAGCTAGCGCCATCTTGCGGGGGTAAAAATCATTGGCCCAAATAAGGAACTGTGCGGGTCTGCGGAATGCGAGTAAGAGTAGCTCGCCGCTCAGTGCCACCATAGACGGGGCCCTATAGGGCTGATTCAGCCGGGGTTTGCGGGGCAAGCGCGATAAGCTACCACGGCCTAAAGCAGGAGAAGGAGCTCGCCTCTCCCTGGGCGGGAGAAGCGATTTACTGATTTTCCCCTCACAAAAAAGAAATAAGCATCAGACTAAAGGATCATTTGCTAAGTGGAAGCGATATATATACTTACGCGGATATTTGCTATCAATTAGCTGCATAACCTGGACATACGGCTGTGGATCGAGCCGGTCATCTCGCGTCGGCTTGTCGTCCATTAATATTGGTTTATACTGCAATTGTATAGGGAATAACCGACCAGGAACCTGGAAGTATACAAAAATAATTAGGTATCAATAATAAAAAGAAACCTAATTATTCAATTTCCTATTTAAATAATTATTACTTTATTAAAGGCAAACTTAGTTGGTCGAGTGAACCCCATAGTAAGAACTTTCTTTTTTTAAATATTTTTCCCTACACTACTTTTCACATTTATGTATGTCACTTTACTGTAATTTCGAAATGCGGAACTACCTATCACAAGCAAAACTTTGCTTAAATGGTAATTTCTAAAGCTGTACTGCTCTTTATACATAAGTGGATGAATTTTTTTATGCTACGATTTTCTTGTGGTTCGTGAATGCGTTTACAAACATACAATGTCACGTCAGACTAAGACTCAGAACAACAATATGTGGATTACATAAAGAGTTATTCAATGCGGGATTCGAAACCACGACACACACAGTCCAACCAATGAGTCAACTATACAGTCTCATTACTGGGATGTAATTTTATTTTGGCCATGGAGCCTGGAATCAAGTTTTGAGAACAACGCGCCGGAAGGGCAATAGCTTCCTTATTATACGAAACAAATATTAAAAAAAACCTCCATACACACTCAACCTCAAGTGTTAGTCACGGTATATATTTTCTTACCTGTATAACAACAGCAGATTCTGCAGAAAAATAGTCTTCAAACAGCTTTATATTAATAGTAGCAGACATAAGTACAAGTTTGATGTCAGCCCGAGTATGTATAAGACATTTCAAGATGCCTAATAGGAAATCTCCCATCAAATGCCTCTCATGAACTTCATCCAGGATTATGACGTCATAACTGGGTAGGCTTTCTGATGACATCTGGAAGTTATTAACGGGTAACAATTAAATGATGTTTGTAAGCAATATTTTTTTCAAATAATTATGTCTTGTTTTTTTGTAATCTACTAATCTACTACACCAATTCAGAATTCTTTGTTAACTTTTAGTAAGGTACACTTTAGAATGAGCTTCAGTGATTAACAGAATGATGAACTAAAATTTTATTTTGAAATCAACAAAGCAAAAATGTAATGTTTTTGGCGTTGACACAAATCATCAACTAAGTATATTATTACAATACTATCACCATATATATATATATCATTATTACAATATAGGACTTAGGCTCTTCACAATTCAAGCAAAGGGATCTATGGAACATTGATTTTTCGATATTTTTAGAACTGGAACTAGTATTTTATGGCAATAGGTTTACTACACAAAAGTTCACAAAACTCATAGCATAATGAGTAAAAATGGGTGTTTATTTGCTTAGCCCTCCACAAATTGATAAAAAACATAACAATGGATATGAATGTTAGTGAACTAAAATGTACTGTACCTGACCTGTCTAAGCAGTAATCCTTCGGTAATGAAACATATCTTTGTGTCCGCTGTCTTGCTCTTTTCAAACCTTATCTGATAACCAACTTTACTTTCAAATTGTGTTAGCATTTCGTAAGCTACTCTCTTTGATAGAGACACACAGGCTATTCTCCTTGGTTGTGTACAGGCTGCAAGGGAAATTGGTCTTTTAATAGCCTTACATGAAACTTATAATGAGAAAAAATATATTTTTGAAAAAGAACTGCTGACTGATGAATTTTAGATAATAATTTATTTTATAATTGATATTATAGAAATGTAGTACTTTTCAAATAAAGTTATGAACTTTAAAATTAGAATAATTTATAGGTACATAACAAATACACACCATTACCTACTAGCTGTTATTAGTAACTTTTAATATGCCTAATATTGAATTAAAACATCATGTTCAATTTAAAATATTCATTGATATTACAAGATACTTACCAATACTTTCAAATCCAGCTTCATGTAAATACTGTGGCACCTGTGTAGACTTGCCACATCCTGTATCACCAGCAACAACCACTACCCTCTCATTTTTAACAGCGGCTACTATTTCATCTCTGAAATAAATAGAATATTATATTAAGGAGAACATTTATTATTATTTTACAAACAGTTACACAATGATCTTAGAGATGAGGTATTATAAAAGTCATACAAGAAGGTTTATTTCAAAATTAAATGGGTTTTGTTCTAACATGACATAATAATTACCTATATTTAGCAACAGGCAAATCTTTCTGAGCCTGTCTCAATTTCCTAAGCTTCTCAAACTTCTCTTTATTCTTGAAGTCGAGGTAAATAGAAACTATATTCAAGAATGCTTTAAATAGTTTTTTGTCCAACTTTCCCCTTTGACTGTCATTGTATACAGTATCTAAATACTTTATAGAAGTGGTAAAGTTTATACAATCAAATTTTGAGAAGGCTTCAGTTTTATCATCGCTCTTTTCGTCGGGTCCGTAGTCAATTATGGGTTTGCCGGCTTTCCTTAAAGTAGCTTCATATTTCTTCAAAAACACCCAAAAGTCGTCGAGGTTATTCACAACAGTATTGCTTTCATTGCTATATAGAATGATTTTGTTCAAGTCTCGTTTGTAATTCGTAAAACTGAAGTCTTCTTCAATACTTTTAGATGATGAAGTAGATACTGATATTCTCTTTATTTTATGTCTGTCCCTATCACGAGAACGGGATCGAGACCGTGAACGCTTTCGCTTGTAGTAATTACTACTGCAAGGAGAAGGACTTCGACCCATTTTATTTTATAATGTGTTTTAATTAAATTAAATCATATTTTTCTACCCTGAGAAAAAAAATAAACAAGCACGCAAGTTCGCCAATTTGACAGATGACAGGTGACAGGGACATTAACAATTCTTTGATGCTATCATAGTTTTTGTCTGACACTTCTAATTTTTATTATTTTGACCTCAAGGTAAAAAGACCTCACCAAATATTAGACTTAGGTCCGACTAAACTCTAATTTTCTAAAAATTAATCAGATGTCTGATAATGCAATAATTATGCACATATATGTGTTTATTTGCTGCACATTTTTTCATTATTTTGTGTTTACCATAAATCAGAATTCGTGGAGATCCACATTTAAGTCTCCCGTTCACTTTTAGGTAGCCTACAAATCGGACGCCAGCAAGATTCTAGCAGTCAACGTAAACTTTTCAAAACGATCACCTCCAATTCCACCTTGCCGTCATTAAATAAATCTTTTGGTAAGTAATCTATTTCAAAGGGAGAAGCTATTCTCTGTCTACGGGGAGAAGGAAGTAGTGAGAAAAGCGTTTTTTCTTACTTCGTCTAGATGCTTGTCGCCGTTGTTGACGTTAAAATTTGCCGATATCCCTCAACAATTAAAATCCGTAAAGGTGAATATTCAAAACGTCTACGAAGGATCATATCTTTACAGGTTCGGATCGGACGCCCAATGGAATTTGTCTTATGCATTGCATTTCACCTTATCAGTCATGTTTTATTTCAGTTTTCACTTTAAAATATTCTACTTATTTTGATTTTACAGGTATAAACATAATGTTACTTTTTAATAACAAAAATGTATTCATTTTTAATTGTACCAGACTGGGAGAAATGCTCAGTTTTCTAGTGTTGCAATGACAAACTATAAACCATAAGTAATAAAAAAAGGTATCTTTTAGTCTATGTCCTGACGCCCTCTAGCGTCAGCAATCAGTATTTTTATAATAATTTCCGCCATTACGTTCCGCCATTTTGCTTGGTCGCGGAGTGAACGTAAAATTTTGTTCTCATGTATTTTATCGTGGTTAACTATTAGTTAGTTTAGAATTAGTGTTTCAATAAACACTAATGGCTTGCTTAAATACACTTAAGTTAGAAATCAAAACTTTAGAACAAGTGTTTCCAAAAAACCATGAACGGTTTCAGATAATGTCAGCTAGTGTCGACGAACTGACCTGCAGATTCGTTGGCAAAAATGGAAAGAAATATGAAATACACGCCAATATTACTGTAAGTACCACCATCACTTGTTTTACCTATGTGGCATAAAAAATAATGTGTCGACTGCGGGGTGCATTTATTGATTACCTTTAGCTGGGACAAAGGGTCGTTGTTTATGAGGGCAGGGCTGTCAACAAAAGGTTTACGGAAGTGAATTTACATTTCCCCGTTGCAACTACTCGTTTCCCATACATTCAGGACCAAATATTTACAAAACATTGATGTTTTTTCGCTAGATCGATAGTCGCGCGTTAACGAGTTTGCGGGTCATATGTTTATTGAGCATACGGTGCCGTGTCGAATTGCTGTATCGATCATTTCGGGCGCAGAACGTCATTATCAAAGTGTTCGTGAATCATTACAGCTATTTTATAGAGAGAGTAACGTCTGTTTTGTTTGGTTAACGGTATACAGGCTCGTTTTGGGGACAAAGGCTCTTAGTCATCCACTCTACCTGTTTTTTGTCATGTAGACATTTTAATGGGACGATAGTGCTGCGTTTTTAAGATGCAATAATGCAAGTTTGTAATGTGCTCAGTTCCTTACTTGGGCCATTCATTGATAACAGGTTATTATTATAAATGTGTGTAATAAACATTACTGTTTACTAGGATTTACGTGTTTAGTATAAACATGGATTGTTTATAAACTATACTGCTCACTATCAATGATATAACACCAAACAATGATTAAATGCTGTTATCAATATTTGGTATATAGTAACCTATTGTTGGTTTATGGCCATACATACTACTAAATTGAAGTGCAATATAATTTGATAACTAAGCTGCAATGGTGTCATTTCATGTTCAATCTAAGTGTTAAATTATAATAAAGCTACATAGGCTCAAAAACATAAAATGCAATGAATTTAAAATAATAAACTTTGAGCAGTAGCTATTAAATGGTGACCCAGATAATGCAATGTGAACTATAAACTTCACACAGACTGTAAAACAATGCATTTATGACCATTTTTGCTTTTCATAAAATTATTGCCTTACTGAATAACTGTTGTTGCAATTTTTCCTTCAGGTCAGTTACTATTGTTATGTGTAAAGTAAAATTTATTGTGTATAGTTAAATTTATTTTATTCATTTATATTCATCCTTGAAAATGTGCTGTGCTTGATTATTTATTCATGTTGTGTTCTATACATACATTTTAAATACAATTTATGAATTAAAACTATAAACCAAATACTATTAAATGGCTCGGAGTCTAGTAGGTTATTACCGTTCTAAAATACTGGAATGCAAAATGCATATACACAACTCAATTTTAATACTCAAGTTACACATTCTAATACACTGATGCACCCTACTGTTTGACCCCTTCAAAAAGGAGGTTACTTGTTAGTTCACTGTTTAAATGCCTGCAAACAATGCATGGCAAAGGCCAAAGCGCTATTATTGAGTATAATTTATTGATTTTAAGTAGTTTGCCCTGAAACTTGGGTGTTTAGACCTGTCTTTGTTTTGTGTGCCAGGCATAGGTATAGTATGCATTTGTACAGCTTAGATAATATGGTTTGTCGTGCAAATAGATCATAGTTCAGTTGAGGTGAACTTTGTACAATTTGTTTAATATGACTTTGTACTGGTACAGTGAATTAAAACTGATGAATTATTGAATATAAGCTAAAAGTGATATTTTATTATTGTTTAGTTGCAGTCCTCTATTAGTTTTGTAGGAAAAACTTTACTACTAAGTGTTGTTATTATTGTTGAAAGTTTAAAAAAGTGGTTTGTTTTTCTATTATTTAATTTTTTTTTTCAAACATCAACTTTAACACAGACTTTGTTCTTTATAAGCTAAAAGATTAGTGTATTGTGTAACTTACAAAATTTAATTAATAAATATTAAACTAATAAACAAAACAGATCTGTAATCAAGAAAAATAGTAATACTGTGTGAGTCAATCCTATTAAAATATTTTGAAGCAAAATATATGTATATTAGGAAATAAAAGGAAAGGTTTTTACTACAGTGTACTTCTGCTGCAGTTTTTCTACCAGAATAACTGATCTTTCAAACAATGAACAGCTTATTTGTAACTATTTACTGTATGCATAAGCTAATAAATGTATTTTTTGGCTGCTAGGAGACTTACCCCAACACTCCGCCTGTATGGTTTGCTGACAGCGAGGATCCCATAGTTACAAATGCTGTCCAGATCCTGACCAATACACAAGGCAGAGATAACCATGTCATAAACCAGGTAAGCTAATCAAATGTATCTTTGCTCTAGTCAATGATCAAATGTATCAAGTCTCTTTTAAAATGTCAAGGTGTACAAGTACCAAATTTTATGTATTATATTTTGCTGCTAATAAAACTTTTTTTTTATTGAGTGCCCAACACAAGGATTTTCCTGTGCATGCATAGCAAATCAAACCCTAAACTTAATATCTCTGTTGTGCTTATCTAAATGAATTCAAAACATTGAAAAAGTTAGGTATATGGTGTATTTAAAAACAAATATGGTGTATTTAAAAACAATGTTAAAGATTAGTTATGATGACACTCTTGGATATTGTGGGAAGTGTACACCGGAGAGCAAAGAGGTTCCACTTGTTAATATTCTTTCAATAATAAAATTAAAAGTTTTTTTTTATAAACGATTAACTAGGAAATGTAAATATAATTAATTAAATAACAAAGTAAATTTAAGAAAACAAAAACATTCAGTGTTTGTTATTGTTTATTCTAAAATGACAAATTTTTCATAGAATTACTATTTTTACCCGACTGCCAAAGAAGGAGGGTAATGTTTTTCGAGTGTATGTAAGTATGTATGTATGTCTGTTCCTTTGTGACCTCCTGTAGCCTAAACGGCTTGATGGATTTTGATGTATGAGGTATCGTTAGATTTGTCTTGATTACGGGAGTGTCATAGGATACATTTTATCCTAAAAGTCCCACGGCATAAAGACATAATAATATTTTTTCTAAATTTCCCTTTAAAAAAATATGTATGCGGTATCATTAGATTCATTTCAATCACGGGAGTAATTAATATAGGATACGTTTTTTCTCAAAATTCCCACGGGAACATGTTAATTCTGCGTCAACGCAAAGCAACTCATGCGTTAGCAAGCAAAAAGATAGGGCGTGGCCTGGCTTGCGGCGCGCGGCGCGGTGCGGAGGGGGATATGCTCGAGTATACAGCCCGAATGCGGGCACACGCATAAGGGCACACGTCGTTGACGGTCGTCTCTAAATAGCGATTTTTTCGATACTTCATCTACAACATTTTCGTTAAATAAAAACAGCTAAAAAGTTATAAATAAAAAAAATATTATTAAAAAAACAAAATACCCGACTGCACACTAAAAAAAGAGTAAAACAAGCCCAACAATAAAAATTTACTGAATATAATTTATAAATGTTGATGGAAAGCATCGCAGGCGGGGACCACCTTGACCGCCACCAACGAAAATTCTGCTAAATGGTGCACAACAGAAATGACTATAAATAAGCCTCTGTTGGTCCCCGCCTGCGATGCTTTCCATCAACATTTATAAATTATATTCAGTAAATTTTTATTGTTGGGCTTGTTTTACTCTTTTTTTAGTGTGCAGTCGGGTATTTTGTTTTTTTAATAATATTTTTTTTATTCATAGTCCATTCATAGATCATTTAATTTTAATTATTCATCATTTTGTTGAATTAATAGCCTGATACAAAAGTAATTTAAATGTGATCATTTGTCTTTTCTATGTTTGTCTCATCATAATGATGCTGAATAAGAAAATTAAATGTAGAGTTTTAATATAATAGATTTCATTGAGAGTGGAAAATCTATTGGATTATTGCAATTGCAGTCACTCATTTTAGTTGTTGAATTTACAAGGTTGCAAGTGATTAGAATTGAATACTCTGCTTAATGTATATTTAATGTTAGTTCTAACTGTTTAAGTTTACAGTTAGGTATAAACAAGTGAAAAAAATAATTAAAGATGTGCTATTGTATATGATTTTAATCTATGAGTAGACTAATATAATTACATAAGATTATGAGATTGTTTCTGTTAAAACACTAATTTTACGATCCTGGTTCAAAATGAAAACATATTTGGATCTCGATAGCCAGTTATTTGAAGAATGCTTTTTAATAAAGGTGCTACATTCACTATGAGCCGAGCATCGGTTCTTAAACCGCGCGGGAGTAGTTAGTAGTAGTAGTAGTCCTTAAAACATACACATTTAAATGTGTTTTTTTTTCACATAGGCTGATATTAATTTTATTATTAATATTCATCACTATAGGAGGTATGTAGGAAGGGAGGGCAGCCTACAATCAGAGTTCCATCATCATCAGCCTATAAGCGCTCACTGCTGAGCAAAGGGCTCTTCTCATACGGAGAAGTTTAGAGCATTAATCACCACGCTTGCTCAATGCGGGTTGGCGATTTCAAACTACACTACTAAACTACACTTTAATAATTAGCAATTACAAGTCGAGGTTTCCTCACGATGTTTACCTTCACCGTATGTCATATGTGTATGTGGTGTCTAAATAATCGTAGAAAGTACATATAACTCGGAAAAAGTCACATTGGTACTTGACAGTTTCGAACCCGTACCCTCATGCATGAGAAGCGGGCTCCTTAACCTCCGGGCCACCCAGAGTTCCATACACAGTTGTATTTTGTACATAGACTTGTGCATACTACAATTTACCTAAAAATGTTTATTTATTTAATTTTAAATCCAACTAACATTGAATAGTATTACTTATAATTATTTATCCATGAACTTTGTGGTGAGTGTTTTATTGTGGTGCATTTCCAAGCTTAAAACTCAATCAATAGTCTAAAAATAGAAGTTGTATCATTCACCACAGTTTGAAGGGCGTAGATTTGAACTCAGACCTTTTGAAGAATAAGTAATTGCAAGCTTTCTAACAAAATCAATAGTTTGAAGTAGATATGTAGCTAAATTAAATTTCATTAGTTATATTTTTATACTACCTATACTATAGACGTAAATAAAACATACGTATTATCATAATCAAATGCTTTCATTAAGATGTTTATCAGTTCAATAACACAGATAAAAAATGACAACACCATGTATGATATATTAAAAAAAAGACTCTTTGCAATATGAAGTCAAGTTCAATGAACTCTGCCGTCACAAAAATATCGTCCACCTACACAAACTGCAAATTGAAAGAGCCAGACTATTTTAAAATATACAAACACGTGCTATGTTTTAAATAGTTAGCCACGTGCCAAGTGTCAAACGTTTAAAAAAGGTTGGTAAATAGAAAAAGTTTTTAATCAACATGATCTTGGTTTTGGAATCAAGGGCGAGGTCATGTGAACGAAGGTGTTTCGTTTAGGAAGTGATTACGCAGTTTTCTGTTTAAAAAGAAATATTCAAGCAGTTTTATTTTATATTATGTGCACATTCTGATTCTAGAAGATTATTTCTATGTAGGTTAAGGTGAATGTGATTAGTGATGTGTCCTCAATTTAATTTTGAGCATTAGTATGATTTATATAGAATTCTTTAGATGGCTATTATTATTAGATTTTTTTGCCGTTATTGTAATATTTAAATTGATTTGAAATTATTTACTTTTACTCAATAAAAAAAAACTGCTAAAGTAACTAGCCAAGTTATAACTTGTGCTCACTAGGTGGCACCACTGAGACTAAGGTCAGTAGCTGTCAAAGTTTACAGATCAATAATTTCATACGTCACGGCTTATTGCAGTGTGCAGTGTAGGCGGCGGTCGCGCCTTTATACTCCAACTCGAAGGGTTAGGCAGAGTGCATATACTGTGAGTTGCGTTACATGTATTAAAGGAGCTAATTATGGTGTTAATTACATCAATTTCCATGGGACCAATATCCAAATCTCATAAATAGATTATTTTATTTCCTCATACAAATCGCAACAGCTGATTGATCATTTTGCATGGAGAAGTAAATAAAAATATTAGTCATATGGAAAAAGTAGTTTTATTTGACCACCAGAATATAATTAAAATATATTCCTTGAATATTTCCCTCGTTTAACGTATCACACTGTATTTTACGATACCTAATAGGTACATATATGCAATGGTAGTATTGAGAACCTTATGCAAAAGAAGTTTAAATTTGGGACGAGTTTAATGCACTTCGCACAATGTTAGACTCAGCTCTATGCAATTAAAAGAACATTTTGAATTAAAAAGTTCAATAACACTGCTCATATATCTGGTCTTATTTTAGTAACGCTTGCATTTACCAACAATATCTATTTTAATTGTTAGAATGAGACAAGCATTGGAAAATACCGAGAACCAGTCATACAATGCACTTCATTCATATTAGGGAAGTACAACAATTTGTTATCACTTATCATTGTTGACATTGACACTGACCTCTATCAAACAGTTTTTTTGTAATCTGATTGGCCAGTGTCAACAATGGTGACTCACTAGTTCTTCACATATGTATAACTAGTTTTTAAACACTCTACCCTCACCTATGTTCCTCTGGTTCTAAACTACATCCCCACCAAATCTATACTAATATTATAAAGCTGAAAAGTTTGTTTAAACGCACTAATCTCAGGAAGTACTGGTTCGAATTGGATAATCTTTTTGTATTCATTAGTCCATTTATCGAGGAAGGCTGCAGGCTATATATCATCACGCTGCGATCTCTAGAAGCTGAGCAGCGGGTGAAACCGCGCGAGAGTAGCTAGTTTAAAATATAAATGGGACTGGAAAACAAAATAAATTCAGTTCAACTTTATGACAACTAGCTTTTGACATGTGCGTCGTCACCTTAAAAAACTATAGGTGTTTAGAAATAACTCTTAACACCAAAAAGTTCGTTTAGTTTAACTGAACGAACTTTTTAGTTGCGGCACTACTATCACGCACAGATAATTTGGTAAATAATTGTGTATTTTGTTCTTTCTAGGTCGGTATACTGTTGCGGGAACTATGCAAGCTACATGGAGTACCGGAGCCTCCAGATTTGGATTCGCTCTCACTACCAGTGCATCCTGCGCCTCAGCAGAGGTTTGTATTTTGTGCTTCTATTGTTGTTATCTTCTCAGCCTATGGTCACTGACGGAGTTCGTATTTATGAAACCATACATAGTGGCATATTAGAAATTAGCAGTATTATTTTGGTAATGGGGAGAGAAAGGACATGAAAAATCATCGTTTATTTGCAGGTCATAAAAAATCCAGCCCACTAATGGTAGCCGCGCCTTATTTTTTTATTACTTTTTCTTCACACAATGTTGAGAGGTATAGAGAATTCAAGCGATTGGTTTGGCCAATTCTATCAACACCACATTTCAACTTGTACTTTTTTTTACACATTACATAAATTAACACTAATATGTAATATAAACATTGTATGAAAATTGCATTCGCATATAGATAATAATATGGACTTGTTTAGCAATACTAAAAAATCTTTAAGTATAAATTCGTTTACGTATAACTCTATTCTTATAATAACAATACAAAACAGATGCACGTCAATAAATCAGTTCAGCCGACTAAAAACTTAACTGTAGATGACACTTGAATGTATGTCAACGATAGTTGACAGTCTATAATGATGTCAACGTATCTACAAGAGTACTCAGTGGCAGAATGACTCCATTCTCTTTGAACATTTCCCCCCTGCGTAAAGTGGATATAAATTTAAAAGTAGGTTGCAGGTTGTAGGGTTGCTTCCAACCCTATTTAAAGCTTGAAATCATGTTTAAATATAGACTTACTAGGTATTACGGTCGGTATTATATTGAAGAAGCAGTAGGTATTTGATAGTGTTTTAATTACATGAAGGAACACAAAATGTATTTGTATCGTAAAAATCGTTAAGTGTGGGAGAGCCAAGCTTCGGCACCAATGGGTCGGCCCGAACAGAGAGAAACAATGGTTTCAAAAAAACATCCACAGCGTTGTGTTTCGCCGCGTGATTGAAGTTACCGGAGGCCCAATCCCTTCCCCTCTTCCATCCTTTCAAATCCTTACATATCCGAAACCCTTATCCCCAAAAAGCTGGCAACGCACTCGTAAGTTGTAACTCTTTTGGGGTTGCGGGTGTCCACGGGCGGCGCCGATTGCTTACCATCAGGTACGATTGATTGCTTACCTCATAAAAATCGGTTTGTAAGTAGGTATTAGGAGCAAAATCCAGCCAAATATTTCTCGAAAGGGAAAATTGAGTAATGAAGGCCGAGGTACGATGCTTACTAAAATATTGTGGCAACTAGTCATCTCGCGTGTCTTGCAAGATTGTAACTGATACGTGGGTTTATTGATTTATGTTATATACGCGTAGCTAAACAATTCAACTCTTCCTTTTGCGTGTTCCTTTAACGATTAGACAATTTAAACATTTTCACATCATATACCAAAACAACAGCGTTTTTTATCGAAAAGGACTTTGCAGAGATGCTCTTGTTTTACAGGGATAGTTTTGGTCCTTTGTTTTATACGCTGAGAACCTTTATTTTTTTAATTTTGAGAAGAAGTGGGGGAATGGAAAATGTCCTCTTTCGTTCAGGGTGGACGAGAGGTAGTGTCAGACTCTTACTGACTAAAAACCGCCCCATTCCTTCTCCTGCTCCAGGCCGAGGTTAAGGTACTTGCGTTTCATGGATTCACTCGCGGATTTCTATGCGCTGTTCAATCTAGAGATGCTTACTGTATGAATACATACGAGGGGTGGCTGATATATAATCTACTTTGTTCAATAAAGTTACAAAAATGATACTGGCCACTATGAAGCTTTAATACTTATGTATTCCTTATTTGAAAATAATACCATTCATTTGTTTTAATTGTTTTCATTACGAATAGTCCACTAACATAGTAAACATGTCGGATGAAAATAATAAAATGCTTAAAATTGAGCAGCGTGCCGTGATTAAAGTCCTAACTAAAGAAGGAAATACTCCTTTGCAAATAAAACAACGAATGTCCAATGTGTTTGGCGATTCATGTCCTTCCGATTTTGTTATAAAGTTTTGGTCTAAACAATTTAAACATGGCCATGTGAGTCTAGAAGACGATCCCCGTAGCGGACGGCCGGTTTCTGCAGTTACAGAAGACACGGTGGCTCGAGTGAAAAAAATAATACTCGCAGATCGGAGAGTCAAGCAGTGGAAAATCGCTAGGGATGTCAGGATCAGTAAGGAACGAGTTCACGTTATTATTCACGAACATTTAGGGATGACAAAGGTGAGCGCCCGATGGGTACCGAGAATGCTGACGCCCTTTGATAAACAACGACGCGTCGAATGTTGTGAGGCATTTTTGGACCTTGTAAAAGACAGAGAAGAAGATATTATCTCTAGAATAGTAACCTGCGACGAAACCTGGATTCGCCAATGGGACCCCGAAAGCAAACAGGAGTCTTTACAGTGGAAATTTAAAAGGGGAGAAGCCACCGCGCAAGTTTAAGGTTCGGCCATCAGCAGGCAAGCTTATGGCAACAATTTTTTGGGATGTCGAGGGGATTCTATTGATAGATTACCTACCAAAAAATACTACGATGAACGCAGCTTACTACGCCAGCTTACTTGACCAACTGCGAGAAGCCATAAAAGAAAAACGAAGAGGCAAACTCGGCAAAGGAGTTTTAATTTTGCAAGACAATGCTCCGGTCCACACAACTTTACATGCAAGGTCAGTCTTAAGCAAGAATGGCTTTACGGAACTAAACCATCCACCCTATAGTCCAGATTTGGCCCCTGTGACTATTTCCTATTCCTAGTTAGAAATTTGAAGAAAAGCCTAAGAGGGAGGCGATTTTTGACCGATGAAGAAATGAAGGCCGCTGTGGATGACCATTTTGACGACCAATCCAAGAAATATTTTTTTGACGGTTTAATGTCGCTTATTGACAAATGTAACAAGTGCATTACGGTAGCAGGGGACTATATTGAAAAATAAAAAAAAATGAGCTTCCTATGTCTTTTCTTTCTATGTTAGGTAGATAACTTTCCAGCCACCCCTGGTACATGCCTTTATGAGCTTTAAGTTTCAATTCTTACTTCTATAAGTTATCAAATGGAATATAGATAATCGACAGTTTCAATACCTATACTTACCCAATCAATCGGCATATCTTTCTAGAAAATATACTTGTTTTGCAATGTACCATTTCATAATTATTCACAAACACGTAGGTACCTAGATCACCGACGACATCCTTTGTGTTGCCGTTGAAGATGCGTAGTTGCGTACATTGCCCTCATTAGGTACACAATACGTCAAGATAGGGTAGGGTAGGAGTTTTATAAGAATTTTGCTATCGGTCTTTAGCTTTCATTGATTAGTATTGGTAATAGATAGAAAAATCTATTTAGTACTAAAGTGAGGTTGGCACTCATGGCCGTTTCAATTGCTAAGTAATTAATGACTATGCATTTAGATAACAGAATCTTGAGTTAAAGGCTTCGATAGAACATACAGAAGTTTTGGGTGAAAAATACACACATATACGTGCTTACGTTAATTAATCAAGACAAGCTCTACTATGTTAAATATGATCTTGAATTTGGGTCCCGTTTGTGATTTGAAACTATAGAAATTTTCTCAGTTTATTCACACGAGTCAGTTGTTATTTTTAGTACCTACTACTATAAAACGAAATGTGAATTTGGACAAATGAAGATTTTTAATTTTATTTTGTAAATAATATAGTAGAAGTAAGTTACAATAAGCATCCTTTAAAGAATGTTATGTTAATATAATAAATAAGTATTCAATTTTCAAATGTGTTTGTAGAGTTCCCAGCGTGACGTCAAATGGCGCCGAATCGGGCACAGAAGAGGACGAGGAGATGGCAGCCGAGGAGGACGAATCCGAAGGGGAGGACGACTTGCCACTTGAGATGGTCGATGATGCTGGACGCAGCAACAAAGTAAGTTTACCCTAATTATTACACTCAATATAAAAATATTCATCACAATACTCATATACCTTCATAAAATAATTGGCCAAAATAATGGTCACACAATTACCAATGGTAACCTGTCCTTAGTAATCTAATCTGTTGATTTTCTTTTTAGAGTAAAATCTTAACATTATCTACATATATGGCAAAAATAGTATGATTGTAATTACAGACTACTATTCTATTTTGTTTCAAAACTATGTTTAGTTGGATGCTTGTGGAAAAAAATAATTTCTATCTGCATCTGCTCTGTTTTACTAGCATACAAACAATGTGACTAAAGTTGTGTATACTGTACAGAGTTCAAAAAACTGAGCGGTTTCATCGGCGAGTTATCTGAATTTCACTTGAATATGTTAATTTTGTGTTATTAATTCACCTGTTACGTTGTTTATGGGTATTTTTGTTTTATTTGTGCCGTAAATATGCGGCACAAACAAAATTAACATCGATGCTCATTAATATTTTATGAATTTTTGTTGAAGTATTTATTTCCTATTGGTTTTGTTTTGTTTATGTGTTATTATTATATCTTAGCTTAATTTTTTCGACTAGACAAACCAATCAACCTTTGGATTTTGAATAAAACAATGTAAGTATTTGGGGTATAAAATATTTTGTCCCATTGAACATGAACATAATTTAACGCATTCATTCATCAAACGCCAAGCGAATTCCGGCGTTTGAGAAGGTTAATGAAAAGAAATACCTCTTGCCTACTTTTTAAAATATAAAAAATCTTATAGTGTATTTAAAATTTCAGGATGATATGGAAACAGAGCATTTAGCGACACTGGAGCGGCTGCGGCAGAACCAGCGAGCGGATTACTTGTCAGGCAGCGTGTCTGGCAGTCTACAGGCCACTGACAGACTCATGAAAGAACTGCGGGACATATACCGTTCCTGCTCTTTCAAGAACAATATGTATTCTATTGGTGAGTGTGTTTTAAATGTTTATGTTCTCTCATAAGATAGACTGTGATTGTTCATCACCAGATGACTTCCAAGCTTTGATTCTGGGAATTAAAGGTCCTGTTCAAAACAATAGTCATCCCTGTAGGTGTGTAAGTTATTAAGTCGGAAATAACCAAATGAGATATGAGGCCTTCATTTGGCACTAGAATTATGAATTATGTTCATATCGAAAATTTCTCAAAAAATCATACATACCTCGAATATGAGTTACAAGACAATGTTTTACTTTTATTTATATTCACATTTAAACAGGAAAAAGTGTTTTATTTTATTTGGTTTAATAATTTCCATTAACCGCGCAGCCCCAATTAATATAACGCGTAACAAACTCGTACTTTGTTATTGGAAAGAGCGCTAAAAACGAATTTGCAAACATCATCACAGTTTACTTACACAATTTGCATCGTCAAAGTGTCAAACTAAGCTGAGAAACGATCCATAGAATAGTTCAATTGAGTTCACTCTGACCTCGCGACCTTCGTACGTACAATTATAGTCTATTGACGTTGCAACGCATTGTATTTCAATAAAAATGTCTACCAGACTTTTTACATGTATGTAATTCTCTAACATTATGTAGACTATTTAGTATGTATGTAATTATGTATATAGGTTTTCTGTTTTTATTTTAAGTAGACAATGTTGTTATTTTGCCTATTGTCAATGAGTAATATCAAATAGGTAACCAAATACGATACCAAATGTTGTCCAAACAAAATCTTTATTTCTTTTCCAAGCAGTAATAAGTAGGTACAATGGTTTTGTTTTCATCGATATGTGCATATCCTGTTTTCTTGACCACATTAATTGCTTTGGTAATGGTAACCGAATCCTTTCGACGCATCGTCGCTCATGCAACCAACCGCATTAGTAGTACCATCCTATAATTTTATGTGCGCAATCTACCACATCGTGATTTTAAGTCTGACGAAGATTGATGCAAATTACTCTCGCTATTTACATTTAGGTATCTCTGCGCCTTCATAATAATTGATTTACTTAGTTTAAAGCCTTTGACTGCCGACAGAAAACCATTAAAGGCAAATCTTTCACTACCGTAGGTCACCGGTGACCTACGTGGCGGTTAACGTGTTAAGAATATCCATTGACAATTTACGGTTCATTTTATTCAAATGCTATTTTTGAATTTATATTTAATTTGAAAAAAGGTTGATTCAAATATCCAGATATAAATACAAATGAGATGAGGTGGCAAAACCTCGAATATTATTCTTATTTTTCATAAATGTTGTTTTTTCTATTGCAGAACTAGTAAACGATTCCTTGTACGAGTGGAACATCAGGCTGCGTTCTGTGGATCCAGATAGTCCACTTCACAATGACCTTCTTGTGTTGAAAGAGAAGGAGGGCAAGGACTCAATACTGCTCAACATCATGTTCAAAGAAACATACCCCTTCGAACCGCCTTTTGTTAGGGTTGTTTACCCTATAATATCAGGTAAACAACTATTTCAAATCTAAATCAATCACTTAACTAATCTATCATTAACAAAATGCATGGGGAAATATCATTCAATTCGTAATTTTTTTTATTTATAATTTTCATAGTTTGTTTTTACATGGATCATTTAATACAGCTTATGGCCAAGTTACAGCCTAGCGGTTGGGGCCTGTGTTCATCCGTTCATCTTCTCAGTGATGGTTTCGGCGAGTACATTGGTAATGGGTTTCGTGGTGGTAATATTTCATTATGAAAAATATCGCTACTAATTTGTATGTGCATCATAAATACCATCATAATCATCTACGCATTTGGGAAAACGGGGTTAATTAATGTTACTAAAATAAAAATTAAACTTAACTAAAATAACTAGCGTTATGATTATGGCTGAGTGGAGTACATGTGGCCACCATAAAGCTTACCAAGAGTCGCAAGAGTCGACCAAAAAGCCACATTTAAACAACACGGCAGCGGCATTCTATTATAAAATCAGAGTGCCTAGCACGAATGACTATAGTAATCGTAACGTTAACGTATCGAGACGTCGATACTTCATGTGACGAAAACGGAATGTCGCAGCACGAAGCCTATCGTATCGTCTAGCGAGAGCTCGAATCGAATTCGTTAGTGACGTCATGCTAATGTAAGCTAGAGAAGCACCCAAGTGAACGAATTGAATGAATTCTTGAACATAATTTAACATAAAGATTTCGTCTGAAAACTTAAATTAATTTTAAACATATTTCAACCTTCGTCTACACCTTTTATGGTATTATATTTAAATGAAAAAATATTAATTACGTGAAATAATTCTAAAAACGAGTCAAGAAGTATATAAAATGACTTTATCTATGAAAAAAATATTATTTGGTTATTTAAATTTTGTAACATAATTTACGATTTCCGAACGTTCTTTTGACAAAGGTGACGTTTGACGGCTATTGACGTATTTTTTTTAACAAACAAAACAAAGAATGTAGATAATTATGCGGCTATCTTATTATGCGGTTAGTTTAAATTGATTTTAAAATGAGGAGGACTCGGCTCCAATACGAATTAATGGTGGATTTCATGGAATATGCCAGTGACAAGCAGCGAGCCTTCAGTGTTCCGACCACTCCGCAGTACCCATGAAGCCAGCCGTTCACCGACACCACCAGTCGCCAATCCTCCATTAGAAAAGGAATGCTGAAAGCCTCGACCGAAAAAAAAATGTAAAGGAGTTTAATCAAATTGTGTTTAGAGAATGATAAGAAACCTAGGGAGTTTGCTAGGGAGCGTGAGGAAACATGATATAATGGAACAAGAGCGTTTGGAATTACGACGAGAAGAATGAAGAGTAAGACAGAGAGATGCAGAGCTCCTTTTACAGGCTCAGTGGCTGGAACTTATGAGAGAGGCAATAAATGTATTAAAATATAATCTAGTTAAAAAGATTATTAATGTATATTTACATATTTTATTTTAAATTACTACATTTTGGAATGAGGAAAGACTATGTTAGGATTGAATTTAAAATGTCACTATAGTTACCTATTATAAAAACATAGGTAAGAATAGTTTTTAAGTGAGATTAGTGTGTAAGATGTTTTGGAAATGTATAATAATAAAACACTTGGGTCATCTGTGTAGTATATTTATTTGCTGTACCAGAATATTACTTAAAGCCTTTTCACTTATTAAATCATCGCTTCTATCATTTTCATGTCTCAAGTGACAAGTCTTGATTTTCAGCTGTTGTTGTATCTACCTGTGACTCAGGCACATTGAAATTTATGACCAAATTATGCAACACGCAGCAAGCCGTTGTCAAACACGGAGCATAATGCAGAGTGCGGTCTTTGGACAAGCATCGCCTCTTCTTTCTTTTACTGCAGTATATCGTGCGGGCCACGAGTTTCCTCTACCGCATCCAAAAAGAGTAGGCGTCATTAGCCATGGTCGCTGTGGGTAGCCAGAATCACCTGTAAAAAAATACTTATTAGAAAACCTAATTTATACTAGATACTTCCTCGCGGTTTCACCCGCTGCTCGACTCCTACTGATTTCATTTTAGCATTATAAGGTTAGTTTTTGTTGGAGTTGCTCACAGAAGCACTTGAAAGCTTCTTTATTTAGGCGGTACCTAGTATTAATTCTAAACTACGTTTCAGTGATATCCTTTGGATTAGATATATTTCTAAATTTAGCTCGGCACACGATTTCTCTAGAATAATCATATATGTATAATATATTATTTACTAGAATAATCATATATAATATTTCTGTATAATAATCAATCAATATTATTTTTTTGAATACATATGTCTATATTAAGTGAAACATAACTTGAATAGGTAGGTACTTAGGTACTTACGAAGTTTCTTTTGACTCTTCATCTCCAAGTAAAATAGCCGCAAATAAACTATTTGTCCAACTTGGTTTGTACAGCGGCGGTTTTGCATGATGTTATACTCGTAAAGAATACTCACAAACCTTATAATATATTATTTAAAACACGATTGTAATATTTCGAAACCTTTCTCACCGTCAAATTCTTAGTGACAAATGTTTCGACAGTTTTCGATAGCCAGCCTTCGAAACTTACGTTACTATACGTCAAAAGATCGTTCGTGCTTCCAATTTGTGTCAAAATGTTCTAAGTTTCGATAGCAACACGATACGATTACTATACGATAGTTGTCAAAATCATTCGTGCTTGCGATTTTTAGTTCCTTTTACGCCCGGTAGGGGCGCTGTACAAATCCCATAGAAAATGCTTTCGATCTCGATACGAATACTTTCTCGATAATGTTCGTGCTAGGCACACTGATCTCGAAACTGCCAAGTATACAGATAAGAGACCATGGACCCATAGGCTATTGATGATGAAGTCTCTTACTGAAATTTTTCATCGAATTTCCAGGAGGCTACGTACTGGTCGGCGGAGCAATATGCATGGAGCTTCTGACCAAACAGGGCTGGTCCTCGGCTTACACGGTAGAAGCCGTCATAATGCAGATAGCTGCCACCCTCGTGAAAGGCAAGGCGCGAATTCAGTTCGGCGCTACAAAAGTCGTGTCGCAGTCTCAATACAGCTTGGCGCGCGCACAACAGAGCTTCAAGTGCCTCGTGCAGATTCACGAGAAGAATGGTGAGATTGTGTATTTTCTATTCTATGTAAATATGGTCTAAGATTGATGTAATATATGATTTTTTATGTCTCTGCCTCTGATATATCAAGTTTTTATTTTAGGAGATAATGTGGCAGGATTAAGGGATTCTGGGATAAATAAAATTTTTGAATTGGTCAGCCTTAATTTTAAAGTTTGTTTATGTATTCAAAGGTTAAGGAAGTTTAGTAGTTGCTTTATACAATGTTTATCTAGCTGGAAAGTGGAGCTGGAGACTAGTCTTCAGTTAATTCTAGTAACTACTATATTTTTAATAAGGGCTGATTTTTCAATTTTCAATAGTCAGATCAATGTATATAAAGAATAAAATTGTTGCTGTCACTGTCTTATACAAACATTCTGATGCGACAGCATCATAACTATTCCCCAGGTAACTTTTATCTAACCATTAAAAAATCAGCCCTAAGCTATCTTTAAGTCATTCTAAAATTGTTGGTTGTTGTGTAAGTTCCGTTTACTAACATATATTTTTCCGTGTCATTTCCAGGATGGTTCACACCACCGAAGGAGGACGGCTAATGCAAGCCACCTCCCTGCCGTTACATTTAAGACTAAACGTGCAACATTGACAGTAACGCCCAAACAACAACCACTCCAAATTTGATAAGTGACTATGAGTTTGCGTGGAACTTTGCATTATGATTCCATTATGATGTTCGTTTATTATTGAGACGCAATTATGTATGTGTTAAGTATGACTGAGGAACTTCGACGATATCGCGAGTATTGTACGAGTATGTAATCGTTAAGTGCTACTGTTCTCACAGTGCGGGCGTTCGCGAGAGACTATACAAGACTTATAGGAAATGTTTAACTGTGTAACGTTTTTGTAATCATTAATTTTCTCAGAAAAGTTATCCATATGGTAGCCTTAGACGTTACTGGAGTGTAAAGTTGAAAAATTCTTTGCATTTCTTTTTAGTTATTGAAATAAAAAACCTGTGATTCTTATACTGTATTTTGTTTTTGGGAACCCTGCTTTGAACCTTGTAATATAAATAGCTGGATTTATTTAACATTATTAATTATTAATGATACAAAATATACATTTTATCTTATGACGGTTTTGCTGTTTTGTTTTACAAAATCTTAGAAAAAATCTCCTGGACCTAACCTTACCATAATAATATATACTTTGTTTTATATCTTAGATTTCTGGTGAAACTTAGTATTTTCCATCAAATTCTTTAGTCCGTCGGAATGTTCTTTGCCTCCGGGAATGTTAATCCTTATACAATAATCCTGTTTGTTCATATTATTGTACCATTGACTTAATTTGGGGAATCTGAAAAATTATAATCAATATTTAGATTATCCTGGCATTTTATTTCTGTTAAAAACGCCGAAAAAGCAGCTTCCCCAATCGGAACAAACTGAACAAAATAACTTAAAAATTTAAAATAAAAAAAAATCCAACAACTTATGTTCGAAAGAGTATATCTTACTAATATTATAAAGAGGTAAAATTTGTAAGTTTGTATGTTGGGGATAATCTTTGGAACCGCTGGCTGGATTGCCAAAATCCTTTCACTAATATTCTATAGGCTATACCTAAAACATCACGCTACGATCAAATGGAGCTGAGCAGCGGGTGAAAACGCGCGAGAGTGGCTAGTAATAATTAATATGGTAAAACGGGGTGAATAGACACGGAACAGGGGTGAATAGATACTTCGTGTAGGTATCTATTTACCCCTCATATTCTTTTCACCCCGTTTTACGGTACTCTAAATACAATGTATTCTATAATAAACGTGAAAACAAACCTGTATTCGTCAATCGGAACCAGGCCAACCAGTGTTGCCATTGTAGACGCTATGCTCAAATCCGCAATAGTAATAACTTCGTCGGCCATATACAAGTTCTCTGATAAATAGCCTTCAAGCATTGCGTATGCTTCGATAATGTTTCTGATCATGCCCTTTGACATCTCCGCCAGCCGTCCCATGTATGTAGGTGCCTTAAAATATAATTAAAATACATATATGGACTTGAGTACGTACATACGTGACTTAACTTAGTAAAGCTCTACTAGTAGGCGCCGAAAACTGATTTCGACGTCGCCTTACACGCACGCTGCTCATTAATAAAAATCCCGTTGTGACTTGAAACTAGTAGGTAGGTAGTTAGTAAGTCATGTGAATGAGTCGATATTCAATTTATTATTGAGTGGTATGTATAACGGTAGTGAATTTCGGTTTATTAGGTAAAAATACGTTAAAGAATCCGCTCCTATTCCTTCAGTATAAACGATTTGATATATTGAACAATTGAGGTGTCTTGTCAAATAAAGTTATAATTAGGTAGTACTTGGATGCTTGGGATTGGGACATGTAATAAAAAGATTTTTACATGAGAAACGCAAAGAATTATAAAGATGCCTACCATCACAGCCCTCAGTCTTTGAAACAGGATCCCACAATCGAAGAACAATCTCTGATGCACAGTCGCACGCTTTCTGCTATCACTCGGGTACAACTTGGAATGCTCTGGTTTACCATACTTTTCTATTAAATATATCATAATAGCGTGGCTGAAAAATAAGTTTTAAAGAATGATTTAAGACGGGATTTGGTTCAGGGAAGTATCTATTACTGGAGGTCTTATTTCAGCGTAATTCATTGGAATATATCTATTTTACTAAGAGTACTTAGTTTTGTCACAATCCTCATGTTAGAATGGTAAAGAAAACTTCACAGTGTCGTGGATATAAATACTAAGATAAATACAACCAATCTTTTTTATTTTTTACCTGTCAGCCAACCAGAAATCGCCTTCGTCTAACCATGGAATGGTTCTCATTGGGTTTTTCTGAAAATATGGCAATGTATTAATTTATAACCTCGATATAAGTTTGAGTAGGTAATAATGATTAAGATTTTCGCTTTGAAGATTGAAGTAATTTTAAATTTGAACTTTTACTTGATAATTGAAATTCTTGACTGTTGCAAAAAAGCAAAAATTCTCTTGCATGGTGTAACTAAACGTAACGTAAGTATGGTATCATCTAAAAGGGCATAAATTTATTGGAATTTAATTACCTATTGCTGTTGTACATAATTATGTTCAAAGAGAACACCGGTGAAAAATAATCAGGTACATTCTGAGTCAGGTACCTAGGTACGTGGGAAAGTTCTTATTTAGGTAGGTACTTAGGTAATAAATTACTTCCTTTGATTTTAGATTTTGAAAAGAGTTACCTACCTACCTTATTTGAATGAATTTTAAATAATGGAGTAAGTCTACCTTTACAAATTCTGGGGCATCTTGCTCTCGTAAAACTGGATTCAAATTCCTCTGTTCAACATTTATTCCCAAAATGTCTATGACCATCATCACCGCTCTCGCCGGAGGACTTGCGTCTGCTTTGTACAGTATTGGCGGCATTTTGTCTAAAGAAATAAAAACTAAAGGATGACTATCTTAACTTAGCTACCTACCGTGGCCCGACTCGGAACAGGAGAACGAACGGTTTTGGGTAATGGTTTTTTAGTCAGTAAGAGTGACACCTGTCGTCCCGCCCAGGGCGCTAGAGATTGGGTGATTAAATAGTCGTCATATTTCTTATACTCATCAAGATTTAAAATTGAAACCCTGGACTTAGACCTTTTTTGTCATGGGAAATTCATCAAATGACTTCTCCCACGCGAGAGAGTGTGTAAGACTGTAACTGACTAAATCCCCCTCCCCCGTTCTTTCTTCTGCTCTGGGCCGAGGCCGCGGTGTCACATTCACTCCGCAACCCCGGCTGAACGTCAGCTCCGTCTGTGGTGGTCTATTGGATCTTTGAGAAGAGCGCGGAACGCTCCGCGCCGTACGTTTGGTCTGGTTCTGATCGGACGGCAAGCTACCCTTACTCGCCGTCCGCAGACCCGCGCTTACGGTAGCCGTAGGATCTACGCCGTAGATAATTTCTCGTGGAGTTTAGGTCTACACAAGAAAGTTTGCCAGAACAGAGGTTGCAGTCTGCAGAGTTGGAGGCTGGAGACGCTTGGTAGGCGTTTATTGACGTCGGTCGTCCTACTGGTTCGAAATATTAAACAACTGAATAGGTCTCTTCAAGGTACCAACTACACACCTACCAGTAAATAACGCAATCACTTAATAATTACCAAAAAAACTACATACGTGAACTTTGTAACCTACTTATTTGCTGTATGAAGAATTGTTTATATATTATCTACGCACAATAAAAATATGATAAAATAACTGATAATTTTACCAAAGGTCATTTTAAGACATTAGAAATGATTTCTACATCTCCAATTCACTAAAGTAAACCAAGGCACATAACCTTAATATGAAGTTTATTAATAAGTATCAAAAAATTACGGAAACGGAATGAAAATAACTCTGAATAATAAACAATCTCCATATACCTAATCTAAAAATATTTAATTGCGGTTTAATCTACACATTATTAGGTACTTACCTAATTTTTGAATGATGCAATGAAATCTTCGAACCTCCCTAGGTATTCCTTGTTTTACAATGTATAAAAATACAACTAAAACTTGAAAATAATTATTAAAACTTTTTTAATTGACAAATATCACAGAAAGATACACTCGCGTTGCACGTTAATATATTTTGTTTGCATAAAATCATTCACGGAGGTCGTTGTACTCATTGACATTCCGTTTATCTGTTTTACAACAGCTGATAACTTAATAGTTTCTTTTATTTGTAACAGATGGCAGCACAAGTCACGATTACAATATTTTTAAATTGATTTTGGCGGGAACTGTTTAATTTTGGCGATGATTGGTGATTCACTTTTTATTCTAATTAAAATATTCCTTACAGAGAAAAAATGACTATTCCTAATTAGCAATGTCAATTAGGTAGCTCAATATTATCTTGTTATCGAAATTTGAAATATTTATTTGCGGTTCTGTATTTTTCATTCTCCTGTTATCTCTAGATAACCTATGCTCTCATAATATTTTATTTGTTGATTATGAAGACAACAGTAGGCAATATTGTCTTTGGTATTTTGGACGAGCAAATTGCAACCAGTCTTGAACCAGTCCGTACGTATTATTTATGACGAGGAGGTGTCCTTTGAATTGATGATAAAAGAGTATTAACTATTCAAATTGCATAAGTTTATAACTGGTGTCATCCTATATTTTGCGTCATATCTACTTACTTGCTTAGCAGATTATTTAAACGTGATTGATTCTCTACCTGATGGATGATCTCTACTTAATTTAGCTCGAACAAATACTCAAATTAAGTCATTCAATGATACTGTTGTTTTTTGATGTCTAGGTAGGTACTTAAATAGGTAGCGTATCGCTATTCAAAAATGCATAAGTAGGTATTGTCGTATAACTAATTGCTTGGCTGGCGCGGTGGCTGGGCAACTGAAACAACTCTTTGTGTGATCCACAAATTGTTTTTCCTAATCTGAGTGTGATGTGTATGTGAAATTGTACCTATGTTTGTAACTGCACCCACGACACAGGAGAAATAACTAGTGGGGGCAAAGTTTAAAAAAAAATTATATAGGATGCAAACTATATTATCATACTCTATTTATACTAAGTAATATATATGTCGTTAATAACCATCTAATATTTTTACGTGAGAGCGAACTTAGGTAATAAACATCGATCCATACTTACTATACTTAAACATTCGCGTTTACTTAAAACATAAGTAGGATGTTATGATAATAAACCTACCTACTTCTCAATGACGTCAGCACCTACATACTAACAAGATTACGAAGTCACTTAACCTAACTTATCACAGCAACTCTTGTTTTTCATTACGTTAAGGTTATTCAACGATATTATTTTGAACTTGACCTTACATATTATAATATAGGTATATACTTATTAAAAGAATGATGTGACACCTATAGGTCATTGCCCTCCTATTGCAATTTTTTTTATGTGATAGGTCGGCAAACTCAATCGTATTACCTGATGGTAAGCAATCAGCCGCCAATGGACCACGACCGAGTAACGAGTGCATTGCCGACCTTTTGAGGATTGTTGATTGGGGCAGAGGAAGGATTGGGCCTCCGGTAACCTCACTCACACGGCGAAACACAATGCTGTGGTTGTTTCACGCCGGTTTTCTGTGAGGCCGTGGCCTCACACCGGTCTAGTGGACCCATTCGTGCCGAAGCATGACTCTCCCACACTTGCGAGACCTACCTCTTTGTTATATAATTATTGTTATTAATTTAATAAAATATTCAATATAAATGCTAACTTATTAGTATTTGCTAAAGGACTTATTGGAAAACAAGTTAGCACAATTTGATTTTCGACCTTATAACTTAATTTTAAAGTTGGAATTAATCAAAGATTGAAGTCATTAACAAGTCGGTCCTGTCAACTGTATCTATAAATTATTAGCTAGCTAGGTCAGTAATAACCACTGAACTGTTAAGCAATGCTGTGTCGCGGGTTCGATTCCCGCACGGAACAAGTCTTCCCCTTTTATGCATAGAGCTTATGATTAAAAGAACCTATTAAAAATCCAGAAAAGAGGTGAAGGAATTTTAACTTTAACTATCCTACCTTCAAAATTAAATAAAATTAAATCAAGAATGCCATATAAAAAAACGACACCGTCTTCACTTAATAATTCACGGGTCCTTAGAAACATGAAATAAAATCATTTATTATAATAAGCAAGTTACTTAAGTTTTTTCAACATTACTTATATTTTTAGATGAAAATACGAAAATCTCATCTTCGAACAAATATAATTATTTAAGATAAGTACAAGCGAAGAAAACAGAGTTACACGTGGATCAGTACCTACGCTTTCGTTTCCCGTAAAATCTGTTATTACCTATGATTGACCTATTACGTCTATTGCGACCATAGCCTAAATTTCTTTAGCCTTGAATAAAAGAAACAAAAATATATTTAGATTTCATCTTCATATAATAATAGCTATTCTGACATTATATACAAAAATATTTCATAGAAATTATAATAGAGAATTCACTAACATAAACTTCATAATTATTTATCAAATGAAAATAAACGCAGGAACATTTTTATACACAATACAATAATTTCATAACAAAATATTTTTACATTAATAAAATACGCTTAGCATTGATTAGATTCTCAACAATGAGCAATAAAAGTTTCCAACATTTTCAACGCTTAATAAGGTAGAATAATTACTTTTACATACTAAGGAATTCTAATAAGGTACGTTGGTAAACAGATAAGAGACAGATTCTGCGTAATGTGTGCGTCTTATAGCCTCGGCCAGCATCACAGATATGTCAATTGTTTGTATCTTAGGGCACATCTTCATATTAGTATCTTGGGGGATCGTATTTGTAACTACGATGCCCTCGAGACACGAGTTATTAATCTTTTCGATAGCATTTCCAGCGAATACTCCGTGGGTCAGTATCGCGTACACTTTAGTGGCTCCGGCCTCACGCAATGCTTGGGCTCCCTTGACAATTGTATCACATGTGTCTGCCAAATCATCCACCATTATCGCTGTACGATTCTGAACGGATCCCACGAGGACAGTCGAATCTCCTTCATTTGCTCTCTCCCTCTCTTTATGGATAATAGCGAAGTCAATATCTAGCCTGTCAGCGATAGCTGTCATCCTTTTCACACCGCCAGCATCTGGAGACACCATAACACTAGTCTTCCAGTCAGGAATGTTTTCCTTAATCCATTTTGTAATAGCAGGTTCAGCATACAAGTTGTCTACAGGAATGTTGAAGAATCCTTGGATTTGTGAGGAGTGGAGGTCAATTGTGATGACGTGATCGGCACCAGCGACTGACACTAGGTTGGCGAGCAATTTTGCTGTGATCGGTGCTCTGCTCTTTTCTTTTTTATCCTGCCTGGAGTACGGGAAACAGGGAATTACAGCTGTGACACGAGACGCAGAAGCAATTTTGCACGCGTTGATCATGATGAAGAGCTCCATAAGGTTGTCGTTGATTTCTCCACAGCCACTTTGTACAATATACACATCCTCACCTCTAACTGATTCACCGATTTCAACATTGGTTTCCTTATTACTAAACTTCTTAGTAGTAGCTCTTCCCAAGTTGATGCCGAGTCTCGCAACAATCCTCTTCGCGATCTCGGGGTGTGAGCTCCCGGTAAATACTTTGATGTTCGGCATTCTGGCACCAGGGTTGTTGAAGCTTCTCTTGCGTGGTTCTTCTGTTGGCTCCTTCAACTCGTTCTCAGGTTTCATTAGATCTTTGTCGCAAGTGAAGACTTCCTTCACTGGCCGCGTTCCACCACAAAATAAGTTATTATTTGATGTAAATGAAGATTTATCTGGGTTCACTGTGAGGTCAACTGGACATAATCTATGTCCCCCGCAATGGAAGTGTACGCGGTCTTATCCATGATACAGTAAATACGCGAACACAAGTAAACACTGTGAGCTATACTTGTTTATTGATTGAGGCGACGTATTACGTAAAAAGTACCGTCCATTACGAAAGCGTATGTAAGAATAGAGAACGAACACATAAGACTATTTTATTGTGTTAAGATAAAGGGGTCGTGTAGAGATCTCCCACTAATTGCATCATTGCCGATAAAATAATTACCTACGGCTAGCAATAATCTGTTTATGCGTTGGCATGGATACAAATAACAGTTGAATCGATAGTATTTTGTTTTTCTTGCCAAAATATTGAGAGAATTTGTTTCGTTGACGAATGTACTTGTATTAAATGTTTGTGTATAAAGTAAATGATTAGGTAAATTTTATTTTGGAAGTAAGTTAAGGAAGAGTGTTTTACGCGTGATGGGGCGTGGGATGAACGTCTGTCGTGGCAACTTAAGTACGGCTTGTCGAGTTCTGAAAGACCTATTTTAGAACTAGTCATAAAATATGGCAAATTGAACCTAATACCATTTCGTTTTTCGTGTGAAAACGAATCTTAGTAAGTTTTGAGAAAAACCACTTTTATTTAAGTCTGCGTAGGTAGATTTGCCCTCATTACAATGGGTCTTAATTACATTACATTTACATTACATATACCGTAATCGGCAGCCTGCTTTCCATAAGTAAGAAACGTCGTGAATATAAAAACTATTTGAAAATCAACATTTTCTAAGGCTTCAGACGTAATCAGATTTCAGTGCAAACTTTTCTCAACTTTCAACCGTATTCTTAACATTACAAAGTATTATATCGAATGTGTATCGCTGGAGTGACTTAGAAGGTTTTTTATTTTGATCTTTATGAGTGTAAGCTTTAAGTCTAATTTCGCTTGTGAGTTTGGCTTGTGACGATAATGTGGTATAGTGCATGTTGTCAGAGCGAAGAGTACTTGAAATTGCTGTAAACATTTAACTTGAAGCATTTCTTGCTTCATTCGTCGAGTTGTCTCAAGGACCAAGACTACATTACACGTGTTTTCGATTTCAATCTTAGGTTTAAAAGTTTGGAGTTTCTGGAATGCAACGCGCTTCTGTTTTGTGTGTAATGTAGTTGTGGCATTGTGAGATGCGGGTTTCAAACATATTACTAGCATGTTTCCGAGTTTAACGTAGGTAGTCTATGTAAATACTACCTACTGATAAACGTGAGGAAAACACCGCCATGAAACATTTTTTTTTTTGAGAGAGAAATCCATGACTGACCCTGGGTGGGGTGAGAGAGTGTTTGATTCTTATTAATAACTAGCTACTCTCGCGCGGTTTCACCCGCTACTCGGCTCCATCTAATCGTAGCGTGAAGTTTTATAGCATATAGCACTCAGGAACATTGTAGCTATCGATCAGTGAAAGGATTTCGGCAACCCGATCAGTGGTTCCAACACAAAGGGTTCAAAGATTACCCCCTAGGTACATACAAACTTACAAATTTTACCTCTTTATAATATTAGTATAGATACACAAGCGACACTGTAAACCCAGCTAGACGCTTCATCCCCATAATGATCCCTACAGGCGCGCGCGGACAGCTAAGCGCCGCTTGGGTATGGTTCTCCTCGGGCGGCGAACTCGACGCCCCGAGTGTCTCCTGCAGTAGTTGAGGAGTGAGGAGGTTAGTTCTGTAATACGCTGCACCTCTTTCTCTGCCATGCATTGTCTGCTTTGCAGAAAGAAGAGACGGTTTCCCAATTCTTATCGCTCCGCACCATGACCTGCAGTATGATTCAGTAAGACTTCATTCTGAACTTCGAATCTGAATCCGCTGTGAGTAGTACACTAGCGCTGCACTAGCGAGTTCAACAAAATTGACCGCAACATTTTGATAGATAAAGTATGAGATGACGTTAAAAGTGGCATTCTATTATGTAATTTTCCTGTGAATTTTCCCGTCACTTCGACGCTCACTTCACACTCGAACAAGATTCAAAATCAAACAAATTTTATAGAATCGACGTGCTGGCCTAATTTTAAAGCTTTGTGAGAAGAGCAGTGCTTGCTCAGGATTGGGCGTTTATTGGCGTGTGATAATGATAACGATGAAAAGTTGCTTCTGACCTGGAATTTATTAGAATAAGGCCACCTTTGTTCAGAAATGGATTTAGGTATCATGGCTGTTATGATAAGCAAGTATTCCTGGGATTTAAATTTTCTCATTCTGAAATATGTATAGTAGTAAATGGTTTGGAGAGGTTTCTGGTTAAAATGACTAAAAACCACTTCTTGTTCCTCCTTCGGCTCCGAGCCGGCGCCAACCCTGGCTGAACATCAATCCTGTTGGGTCCCATTTCTATTGTATTGGTGATCGATGAATTCCACCCAGCCGATATTGTCAACAGACGGCCAATGGAATCATATCAAAAATAATCATTTGTAAGAATAAGGTGCATGCATACATGCATACAGGCATATATACATATGTATTATGGCTGACAAATATTTATCTAATTTATTTACGTAAATTAAAAATTGTTATAATTATTATTATACATTTAAATTGTATTCAATTTATCAGGTGATATTGAATCAATTATATTTTCATTGAAGTCGTATTCATTGAATGGCAATCATATGTACATTATTGATTAAATTATGTAATATCATTAAAATACCTATATATACGTTTTATATTTTTTAGGACTTGTTGACTGGGACACGGCGCGTTATGCGTCATACATCGCTCTTTGGTTTCTGTTTGCGTAAAGAATGATACGACTCGCCGCTGCAATGTACGACGGACGCCCTGCGCGTGTCGCAATGTAAATGAGGTCTTAAAGGAAGGTGGTGGGAGAGCCATGTTTCGCAATAAATGGGCGGCACAATCGGAGTGATACCACAGCCTCATAGAAATAGGGCATGAAACAACTACAGCGATGTGTTTAGCAGTGTGAATGAGGGAACCGGAGGACTAATCCTTCTTCCTCATCCCCATAATACACAATATCAGCCTATAAGTGCTCACTGCTAAGCAAAGGCCTCTTCCCACACGGAGAAGAATTGAGCATTCAAACTTATAATTAGAAATTAGAAATTATATATCCAGTTTTCCTCTGGATGTTTTTCTATACCGTATGTCAGTGGTTTGTAAACAATTATAGAAAGTACATATAACTCGGAAAAAGTTACACTGGTACTTGCCAGTTTTTGAACATGGCGAGTGACGAAGAACGCGCGCTTCTCATGCATGAGAGTGCATGCATGACTCACTTAGACCTCCTCAGTCCCTAAATCTTCGAAACCCTCATCCTTACAAGGCAATGCACCCGGAACTCCTCTGGTGTTGCGGGTGTCGGCAGCGTATGGGTGGCGCCGAATGTTTTACCATCATCATCATCATCATCATCATCATCATCATCATCATCATCAGCTTCATCATTCCATCTACTACTCCATAAAGGCCTCTTTAATCGCCGATTGTTTACCATCAAGTAATCCGTCTGCTCATTTGCCGATCTATCACAGCAAAAAAAGGTATGAAGTTCGGTTCAGGAAATCTTCAGGTAACTAAAACCTTTTCTAACAATAACTCATTAGAGCTCTTGAAATTAGGAGGGACCTTGGAGTTTCCTTTTCAAGTGATTTATTAAGGTGGATAATATTTTTTAAGCTCAGGTATAATAGGAATAGATTTTCGCCTCGAGACTTTTAAGCGCTTCTATGTTAGTTTTTTTTCGGGATATTAAATTATTTGCTGTTTTTCAATCTTCCATACACTGTTTGGTGGTTACTTAGTATTTTGTTTGGTAAGTAGGTATTCATAAAGCACAGTCCGACTTTTCTTGAGGGATAAACAGAGCTGTTCAAGTTGTCATGTCAAACGTGCAGTCCAGATTTTAATACTCTTACATTGTTTTTGACTTTTGATGCATTGTAAAGTCGAAATAATTTATTGTTAAATCAAGTGCCAAATACTACACCTGTGCCCTTCTTATGCACATTTTACGTGATTTGAGGACCAAACCACAGACCTACGTTCAATTGTTTCGTTGACATTAAATAAATCATTTTACAAACGTAATCAAATGCCAAAGAGTAACGTTTCAATTATTTTGAAATGTCTCAAAAGGATTTCATTTAAATTTAAAATAATATACTTAAAACATAAACCGCAAGAATTGAATTTCGAATTTCAAATAGTTAATCTCAAAGATATTTTTTATGTGGTAGGTTGGTCGGCAAACTTGCAGATTGATTACTTGATGGTAAGCAATCGATGCTGCTTTTTCATACTCGCAACATCAAAGGGGTTACGAGTGAATTGCCAACCTTTAAGGGATTAGGGAGTCGGAGATTTAGGCATTGGGGAGGGATGGTAGGGGAAGCATTGGGCCTCTAGTAACCTTACTCATCATCATCATCGTCATCAGCCTATAAGTGCCCACTGCTGAGCAAAGGCCTCTTTTCATACGGGGAAGGTTAGAGCATTGATCACTACGCTTGCTCAATGCGGGTTGGCGATTTTAAATTAGAAATTATATATAAGTCCAGGTTTCCTCACTATGTTTACCTTCACCGTATGTCAGTGGTGTCTAAATAATCATAGAAAGTACATATAACTCGGAAAGTAGTAAGTCACATTGGTACTTCGCAGGTTTCGAACACACACCCACATGCATGCACCTCCGGGCCACCACGACGATTTACTCACACGGCGAAGCACAATGGTTGTTTCACGCCGATTTTCTGTGACACCGTGGTATCACCCGTGATACGATTCGTGGTGAAATGTGTAGATCTTCCACACTTAAAAAACAAATGCATGGGGTAGGGATTGGGCCTTCTTTTACCTCACTCACACATCGAAATACAACTTAAGAAAGTGTCGTTTCAGACTAGTATTACGTGAGTAGGGTGTGTCGAGCCATCCAATCGCGCCGAAGCATGGCACAGTTGGGTCTTGTAAAAATGTCAAAATAAAAACCAATTAAGTATGTAAATTTATTGTATTCTTCAAAAGAATATAAATATTGAGATATATAAATAAAGCTGGAAGAGATATAAAATCATACTTAAATGCTAAAACGATTTATTTTAGGTATCGTTCCCATAAAATAATTAACAGTTTGTCCAAATTTTTTATAATTTTAATAAGGATATGTACGTTAGCAGTAAACTCACGAATCTGGGTGAGTCCAATTATCCAATATTAGATATGCAGAGCTTTATTTTCAGGGTGGATTATCATTAAATAAATTCTCTGGCCCTGGTTGGGGTCAGACGAATTGCCAGGTTTGTGACTAAAAAGCACCTTTTTCTTGACCTGATCCAGGCCGAGGAAGCGGTACATAATCGCGTTTGCCCCGCAACCCGGACAACGTTTTTAAGACTAGATTTGCGTATGAGCACCAAGTTTCATTAAAATCGGTTTAGCAGTTTTCATGATTTAAGATTTAAGACTTGAAAATTTGTAAACCAGGGGCGCATGAACTTTCTTTTTCTTAACTATCTGTATGGGAACATTAAAAACTTTTTTACAAATTCATATTTAAAAGCTCGTAATTAATTTAATTGCCAACGTATCGATAAACAATTTCTTCTTTAACCATTAGGTCGCACAAATCTATTGACGTTTTAACGACTCTTGATTCATCATAATTGTTTTTGTCGTCTTCCAAGCCGTATACTGTGATTTCATTAACAGTTTTAGCCCACACAGCTTCATTACGTTCACAAAATACTGAAAAGTCATTGCCCAAAGCTGTAATTGTCACTGTTTTAGAAGTAGCTTTGATTAAAATACTCATGTCTTCACTCATGAAGAGTTTGCCACTAGCATCACACGTTCTTACTAAGCGTTCTGCGGTTTGGGTAGTTGTAGTGATTTCTGCATCATCAGTCTGTCCTGTTGACTTTTCTGTTGTGGCTTCACTATGAGCAGCTGTGCTAGTTATTTCTTTTTCATCAGATATGTTATCATCGTCAGTCGTCGTTATAGGCTCTGTTGTGAAATTGTCTTCACCAGTACTGAGGGTCGTTTCACATTCAAGTGCCACCAGAATTGAGAATCCAGAATGTAAGCGTGTCAGGTCTGCTGTTAGTTGCGTCTCCTGAAAAAAAGGAGAGAAATCTTTGTTATACAATTTACGAAAGATGAGAGGTAATTTTTGCATCGTGAAGCATACAAAATTTTTTTGATCATGAGTTCATTACCAAGAGTCCCGATATGACTTTAACCAAGAACATTTCTAAGTTAAGTCATATGTGTCAGTCGTTTTTTAAATAAACAGAGAGATAATGCTGAAAAGCATATTATTGTAGAATTTTTACTGTTTATTGCTATTAGTCAATCATCCGCCATAATTCAAAGTTTTATGCAATTTTAGACGTATTTTTCTCATTGAGAAATCCATACTTCTCTCCATGCTTAGTAACTCCATTTACGTCATTCAAGGACTTTTCTATAGAGTTAGCGAAATATTAAGAAAATAGAGCAAGGTACTATATATTTTCGTAATGACATCAATCTGATTACGTTATTGTAGTAATAGAGCGATTCAGATTTTTTTGGGTCAGGTTATCTAGAGCAATCGACGAAAATTACAAGGAACTTATATAATGGCAATTCATTTTCAATGGCACACGTGGTAGTTGGATATTACGTCAATTTTAGTATGATTGTATATCTTAAAGAAAGTTTATCCATTTTTTTTATTAGTTCACAGTTTTTTTTAATTTCCCTATTTGTTGTAGAATGATAAAACTATTAATTTATCTCTCGCTCTAACCAACCTTACCTATCCTACCTTACCCCTTATTCCTTAATAAGATTTTCCTAAAAATGACCAAAACAACGAAAAAAAATTGCGATATTATTTCAACCGTTCTCGAGACTCGCAATTAGTTACTTATTAAGTGATAAATTTTATACTGTACATTATTTATTTATACCTTTTGCATGACGATGATAGAGCCAGCGCGCACTAGAGAAAAGAAGTCTGCTGCTGTGGTTGTCATAGTAACAGGTTCTCCTACACCTCCAAATATTTCCAGTCCACTCCAGAATTCATACCACGTGCCTGGTGGCATTCTTACATGGACATGTGTCTGCATCGGTTGTAAGTTTGGTACGATTAATAAATCGTTTCCGACCGCGAACTGAGTCGTCAAATCTGTCATATTGTCTATCGACGGGTATTGAAAGAACATTGGTCTGAGAAGAGGCCCTTCTTGTAGAGTTGTGTAGAAATATGGCAGTAGACTGAGGCGTCTGTTCAACGCTTTTATCATATGCCTTTTGTCTGTACCATCAAAGCTTAGAGGATCTCTAGCGTGTACCTTCGAGTCTATCTTAATCATTGGCATATATGTTGCTGCCATATACCATTTAGCGCATAGCGCAGTTTGATAATTCTTCTCGAAGTCACCAGTATCACCACATATGGGAGACGACCAGTACCAATGGCCAGAAACACCTCCCAAACTTGCTTCGATAAGTTCCTTCCGAAGGTTCGTCCATGAAGTTGATATACCTTGTCTATTTATGGCAACTTTTCCATTCATCCACGGACTTGTGCTTAGTGTTGGAACAGAACCTTTGATTACTTTGAATGCGGCGTCAAATCGATTGCCATATTCGTTATGTGTCTTGTAATACATTTCTCCCGGGAATTCTGCGTCACCTGATGACCGCGAAAAAATTCGGACAGGACGTGAAGCATTCCATTGAGGTACTGAACGAAAAGCGTTTTCAAAACTCTGGAAGAAAGAAGATAAATTATTTATAAATTCAGTAAATTATAGTAATAAATAATATGGTACCGGGTGATAAAAAAGAAAAATATGGTACCGAGATAAAATCCTAAGTTATATTATAAAATAAAATAAAATGCTAGATGAAAAAATCTGTTTATATTAATCTATGGGTTTGTGTTGAGAATTTGTCAGTTTTTAAACTCAAGGAAGTAACGTTTTGCGTCTCATTTACTTTTTCAAAATATTTTTCTAGCTGGCTTACTAACAAAACTTTGTTAATACATGTTTTTTTGACCTCAAACAACACATCGTTTTTTTACTTGCCCTCCCTAATTTGAACTTAGCAAATAATTTATCATCGCCTTCCTCGTCAGCACGGGATGATTAATCATGAAAATGTTATAATGAATTGGTGTTATCGAGTCTGAAACTTCTTCCATCTTTGTTTTTACTTAATTTGGGTCTCAGATTAGGAACACTCACTTGAGTGAATTTGAAGATCATGTTATGATTTTATACATTTTCACTACATTAGGGTAAGGTAGAAAAGATGGCGAACGAATATATACTACAAATTACTTACATCACTGAAATACGGCAAATAATCTTCTAAATCATTAAAATCTTTTTTACTTTCGTCCAATGGCCAGCTGTTTTCCAAAATAATGCCATCAAATTCTGTGTTGTAATTCCATAAACTATTCATAAACTCGTCGCTACCTCTAGAAAATCCGGGATAGACAATATCGTGATCATTAACTTTCCCTTTGTAGAGATTATTGGAATCTGGATCTCGAATAATGTATTGTTCGAATTTCTCGTCATCGAAACATCGGTCTTCTGGTACTAAAGTTGTTTTAGTTTTTGCTTCTGCAGTTTCTGTCGTACCTTCTTCTTCTTCGGTTTCTGATTTTGGTGGTGGTGTGTATTTTATCTGTAAAGAACATATCACATATGAGTTTATTTATTGTATGGTACAGCGTCTAGTCAGCGTCAGAGTCAGAGTCATAGTCGATCTATAACAGTGTATCCTCTGTGATGTAACTATAAAACTAAATATAATAAAGACCGCTGATAAAAAATTTAGAAATAGAAAAAGCAATTCAGATAGAAAATATGTTTTATGTTTGTCTGTAGCATACATTAGTCTCCGGAACTGACTGAAGGTTCTGATAGTTTTTTTTCGTAGATATAGCTCATAAGTTTAAGCAACATATAGCGTAATATATGTATGTTTTGAAAATGAAAACAAGAAGCTATACCCTCGAAGTTACGGACAGAAACTAGTAGGTATGTAATAAATACCCGTTACTACACTACGAATAAGTGACTCGCGAAACGCGTTAAGTGTATTATTTTGAAATTCATCATTTGACTTCTACCGCCCTTCTCTCCTGGAGAGGAAGTGTCACTCTTATCAACTAAAACCCACTCCGATCCTTCTACGTGGTACTTTATTGCTTTTCTGAATCCACCGCCTGTGTGCCAAGGGTTCGATCTTGGTTCGGGGTTAGACAAAATTCATATAATTATGATTGTTTAAATGGTTTTTACTAAAGTTAAAGTTAAAGTATACTTGTGATGTGTATGTCAATACTTTATTTATAAACACATCCACGATATACTCACGTAATCGTTTAACGAGATACTCGACTAGTTTCAAGCCATGCTTGAGGCCCATATTCATGAGCAGCATTCCGCGACCGTGTCCGAATCATAATAATTAATTTAGTATGTCTCACGACAGTTATAATAAAAAAAAAACATCCACGATACAGAAAGAGATTTATATTGTTCGACAAAGATGAATCAAGTACAATTTTTATACCTATAATGTTTTTTTTTACATTCATAATCGAGTTCAACGTACTAGATCCTTAACAACTACGGTCTATTTATTTATTACTTAAGATTTTATTTCTTATATTTTATTCTGAACCTTAATTTAATATCAGAATTAAATTGTTATTCTTTATAATTATAATTAAACAACAATTCAGTTTCCTCTATATAAAATTTGTTAATAAACTTAATTGAAACACAAAGCTAGAAAAAATACGTTTAAGTAAATTAGTTTTTGACGGGAACTTATGTTGAGTCGAGTTTGTAATTAAAAAGCGTGTTTTATGAAGGTAGGTGACTTAAAGAAAGAAAATTAACTAATCTAAATATTTAGGTCATATTCTGTCTACCGGGGTGGCGGGACTAGCTCAACAAGGCACCATAGCCTCGGTCTAGGAGAGGGTTTAGTCAGTATGGGTCTGACACATCATTTGTTAAGTTCCACCCGTGAGAAGACTTTCTTCATTTCCCCCTCACAAAATACAGTCAGATTCAGTGTATACCAGCTGCTCTTTTTTTAATAGGTTCGTGATTAAATTAATGTAAAAGCTTCATGAAAATCTGTAGAGTACCTAGTTTACATGATTATCAATGTAAATGAATGCACGGTTGGTGCTGTGGCTGGGCAACTGGCTGCCATGCAAGGTGTCGCGGGTCCGATTCCCGTACGATTTTTTTTTTTTTTTTTGAGGGGAAAATCATCAAATGACTTCTCCCGCCCAGGGCCGGGCAGGAGGGAGTGTCGGACTCTTACTGACTAAAAACCCCCCTGTTCCTTCTCCTGCTCTGTGCCGAGGTCGCGGTGCCTCGTTGCGCTTACCCCGCAACCCCGGCTGAACATCAGCCCTTTAGGGGCCCATCTGTGGTGGTCTAATGGCTCTTTGAGGCGCGCGCGGAACGCTACGCGCCGTACGCTCGGGCCTGGTTCTGGTCGGGCGGCGAGCTGCCCGACCAGAGGAGGAGGATTGCTCCCTCACGCGGGCCGCCTCTCTCTTTGCGAGCATGACTGCTTCACAAAAGGAGGAGACGGCGTCCCAGTTCCTCTCACTCCGCACCATGGCCTCGACTAAGGCCAGGCGCGAGAGGTCGCCGTCGCCGATCACTTCCCTGAGGATACGGCGGTGCTTAGCCCAGGCAGGGCATACCGCTACCGTATGCTCAACCGTATCCTCTAGGTGGTCCTCACAATGACGACACGCGGGCGTTTCCTCCCGCTGGATCCGAAACAGGAACCTACCGAAGCTGCCGTGCCCGGTAAGCACCTGCGTCAGACGGAAGGTGAGGACGCCGTGGCGTCTCTCAAGCCACTCCTCAAAGAGGGGTCTTACCGCTGCTATAGTAGCGTGCCCGCCGATTCCCGTACGTAAAAACGAACGTTTGTGTGATCCACAAATTGTTGTCCTGGTCTGGATGTCATGTGTATGTATGTTTGTAACCGCACCCACGACACAGGAGAAAATCCTAGTGTGGGGGAACGTTGTATTTAAAATCTAAAAAGCAAATCTAAAAAGAAAGATGTTTACATGAAAACGCGTCCTGAGTGAACGCTTTTAAAAACAATAGACGAATGTTTTGCATAAATCCTTCTTGTTAAGGTAACATTGTTTGTCTTTAGAGCCGACCATAGAGAGAATAGTAAAAGATAAGACTTCGTTAAAAACGTAGTGTAGGTACCTAACAAAAGCTACTGTCTCTGGTGAGTCATAGTAAGGGCTGGATTAGCCCAGTCAGGAGCCTCTAGGCAATGAAATTTTCAGAATCTGCGATTAAATTTTAGTCTACTTTAAAAATAAATTATGACTTAATTAACGGAAGGGTATTGTTGTTATTATTTTTTAACATTTTTCTATTTATGTTTTTTCTAGGTGCCTAACCTGCGGGCCTTCGAAGACTCGGAGCCCCCGAACCCCTCAAGTGGCTTATATTGCATATTGTTTAATAAATAATATTATATATTGTTTCATAAATTTAGCCTTGGTCATGTTTTTTTATACCAAATATCTAAGCTACCTAACTGTAAAAACAATCTGCAGATAGGTATAGTAGTTGATTTTTAATCTAATTTTATTTCTGTTATTTATTTTCAAAGGTCAGTCTAGCTAGAGCTATTTATCACCCAATATCGTTAAAAAAGTTTTGAGTTCAAACACTCAACTTCAACCGCTGCGTAGGCAATTTGGAAATTACCCAAACTTGACAATTTGGAATATATAAAGTTTTAAATGTTTAAAAATAAATATTTGTTTCAATATAACTAAAATAATTTTATAACACACAATAAACTTAAAAAAAAAAACCGAAACGTTCCTAACGTTTTTTTCAAATGTTTGTCTCTTAAGAGGTCACTGGCAGGAAGAAACGAATGTTTTTGTACACTTTCTACCGAAAAAAAGAAGAAAAAACGTGTCTATGAATTCGTGCCATTAACTAAATTATTTTTACATTATAATAAAACTGCCAGGTTTTATTTCGACAAAGAAAATCTCATTGTTTGCTCTTAATTATTTTTTTTTCTTTATATATAAAGATTATTGTTCCCTGTCTGGAATTTGGATATTATTATGATGTTTGTATATGTCATTTTAATACCATCCCCTCTAGAGACACAAGTTTGAGATGGGTTTTAACAGGTCAAAAATGATCCCTGTTCTTTCTATTACTACACACGCTTTTTAATACCTTTTACTCAAATAACAGTTACCCTTTCGCATATCTGGTAATTCCGATATCGAGTTGGGAAAAGATATATCAATGTTAAATAACAACAGCAGTGTGATTCTGTAAGATTTCATTCTAAACTTCGAATCTGAATCCGCTGTGAGTAGTAGTACACTAGCGCTACGCTTGAACTAAATTGACAGCAACATTTTGATAGATAAAGTATGAGATGACGTTAAAAGTGGCATTCTAAAATTTAACTTCTCCGTCACTTCGATTCTCACTTCGCACTCGAACACGAATCAAAATCAAACAAATTTTATAGAATCGACGTGCAGGCTATTATTTTTAATGTGACTGTGACTGTAATTTGCACTATAATTGTGATTACAGCTGTTATTTACGTGAGAGAGATATTGTTATGACATAATAGGCTGTCATTTGAACTGTGAATGTGATGTGAGCTGTGATTCCAAGTGTTATTGATAATAACTGCTAAGTACTTGTCCCCGCAGTACACACTTATCTAGTATTAGTGAAATACTTATTTTTTAACCTGCGACGGTGAAACGCCTCACACCTAATACAAATGTTAGGTGAAGGTAAAATCCAGGACTTCATAATGGACAGCCTATAATTGCCCACTGATGTGCAAAGGCCTCTTCTCATATAGAGAAAGATTGAGCATTAATCATCTCGATTGCTCAAAACGAATTGGCGACTTCAAACTTATAATAAGGAATTATAAGTAATTAGGTAAATAGAATTGCACAAAGGATATTAAAAATTAGAAATAAATAGACAATAATTAGTTAGATTTTATAAGGCTAGGTTTTGTCATGATGTTTTTCTTCACCAGTCAGTGGTGTCTAAATAATCTTAGTAGTACACAATACCTCGGAAGAAGTCACATAGGTACTTGCCAAGTTTCGAACCCGAACTCACAACAACTTTCACACGAATCGCGTGATTTCACACGCTACTCGGCTCCATTTGATCGTAGCGTGATGTTTTATAGCCTATAGCACTCAAAGACATTGTAGCTATCTGTCAGTGAATTCTGGCAATCCGACCAGCGGTTCCAAACATTAACCCCTACATACAAACTTACAAATTTAACCTCTTTATAATATTAATATGTATTTTATTATAAATAGTATAGATAACATAAGTTTCAAGTCATATCGAAATCATACTTCTAGCCGTCGTGACCTGTAATTATTAAAAAACAAATCTTGTAAAGTACTTACGTAAGGCGAAACATGGGGCATATACTTCTTTCCGGCACTTTTGACTAAAACTGATCCTTGGTTGACAGTCTCCACCATAGCAGGATTACATTTCGTTTCGAACACAATAGGGAAAGCGCCACAATGGCTCTCAAAAGGCAGATCTTGTGAAGTAGCCGCTGCCAGGAACGTTCGTAAGTCCGCCAAGGCATTATCAGTTACTGCTTCTCTGAAATTGAAAATATTTTTAATTAGAGGGTTGTTTTATTACGGTGTCTGATGGATCATTCCAACATCATAATTACTAGGGCCTATTATGGGCTGAAATAGGTAATCACCCTCAACACTAACGTGTGTATTATTTTTCGCTTCGCTCCCGTCATTTGACTTCCTACACTACCCAACGTAGGTACCTACCTACACTTCAGACCCAACACTATTTACCCTACCTACCCTATCCTACCTACCTTGCCCTACACTAACTACCGTACACTATCTTTATCTCGGAAAATATATGACATCACATAGGTTCGTACGTGTTGCGCGAAATTTATAGAAAAAACTATGTATATGCTTTTGTAAAATTAGAGTCTGGGGTGGGTATGTATTTGAGGCAACGTTTTTTCATTAAAAAACGTTTTTATAATCTACTAGTTTATCACTTAATTATGTCTATGGGTCTTAAAAGAGAAATAAAGATACGAAATTTACTAAAATTAAGAGTATACAAATGGTATAAACATTATGTAAATCGTACTAGCAAAAAAATGAAAACTTTAAAAGTCAATATAATAAAGACACATTTTGGGTGCGTCGACGTACACATTGATATAAAAAACTGTATTCCATAGTAAAAAAAACATTAAAACAAAAAGCACACGATTAATAAAAAAATCTTATCCAAAGATTTGCAGATAGGCATTACACGAAACATTTTCGAAGAAAATTCTCAGTAATCAGTAGAAAATTAACCAAAAATAACATTCAACATATGATTTTCATAAAGAATAATACATATGTTTAGAAAGTTCAAAGGGCAAATTGCCCAAAACAAACTCTGTGCTATCAAAAGAAACGTTCACTGATAAAGTTATTGAACTCAAGTAACTTCTTTGATTTTGCAAATATTTAACTAAAACGTTAATTTACTTTCCAAAGAAATATAATTGTCGATGTTCAAATAAACATCGTAGAACTAAAATTAATTTTTCGTTCATTTTATTTAGCAGCTAATAAATGCCTAATGAATATTATTAAGGCAATACTTTTATTACTAAAAATGCTTTTAAATGTAATCTAGTTTATATCCATTGGCTGTTCAAAAATAGTTTAATGAAACTGATTGTAGTTACATATGATGCACGATATTGAACCTTATTATCTCTAATACAGTTTATTATTTATCTATACTAATATAATAAAGAGGTAAAATTTGTAAGTTTGTATGTAGGGGGTAATCTTTGGAACCGCTGGTCGGATTGCCAAAATCCTTTCGCTGATAGGTAGCTACAATGTTCCTGAGTATAGGCTATAAAACATCACGATACGAATGGGGGTCGAACAGCGGGTGAAACCGCGCGAAAGTAGCTAGTTTTTTATAAGATAGGGCAGCAATTGGTTTGACGGACCTGATGGTAAGCAACATAGCCTATAGACACTCGCAACACCAAAGTAGCAAGTGAGTTTTGTTTTGACTTTTTAGGGATTGGAGATTTGAGGATTTTGGGAATCGTGAATAGGGGGACCATCGCAAATTCGTTTACAAAGCAAGTGTTTTCATGTCAGTTTTGGTGGTATCACTCCAGTTGAGTCGGTGGTTTCATACTGAAGCATGGCTCTTTCAAACTTATACTTACCTTTCGTTCCACACAAAGTAATGTACAATTATTTAGGGGATTTAACGTGACAATTGTCTGCTACATAATAAAATAAGTGACCAATCGACTATAATTTCTTTTCCTATTTATTTATTTATTCTTGTAGACACAAAACTACTTTGGATTCTGTTTTCTGTATTTCTGTACGTTGCTGATTGTTACGCTTTAACCTTTAATTCACTGAGCTAATTCTGAGGAAATTTGCTGCTAAGATAGAATAATTATTTGGAAATGATAGTCTACTATGTAGACAAAGACATGCAAGAAAGCAAAATGAAGTTTTAAGACGGCCCTTTGAGACGTTTTTCACGCTTGGGAAAAACTTGAAGTACTATCAATGTCATAAGTGCATGGAGGGTTCCAAATCAAAATCGTTTGTACGGCGTTTCATCGCCGTAATAATATACCACGTATGACATAGATGGCGCTAGTATACTAATGGTATTGAAAAATATACATTTATAGTTTTTATCAGATACAAAGCTATTAACTTAATAAATTTTTACACAAATTAATGCTACGATATTCCAAACCTTTTTAAAGCAAAGCATGCAATAACCAGGATTCGAACTCGGTAGCATAAAATTTACCGATGCCACTAGCCATTAGGCCATTGCGTAACCTTGAGATGTTTTGAAATTATCCTACTCTTTATTATATTGAAGTTGTTTAGCAACTATAACACGATCATAAATCTCAAAACAGTTGAGGGTAATTTAATATTAACTGTATAAAAATTAAACCTTTTTGTTCAATCATAACATTCTTTACTATCTTTGAGTGAGTTCAGTTACGATTTGTTTAACAAGTTTTTAATATTTATTTTTATCATGAGTTTGCGTTCAAATATTGATATGGCTACGAGGGCCCAAATAATAGCATTGCATAATCAAAGCTTAAATTATACTGAAATTTCGAGAGAAACTGGCTTAAACGTAAGTATTCTTTTAAAATTACCGTTCGTTATTTATTTTATTATCCATGGTTATCGATACATGAAAATATTAAATAATACACGTCCCTTACAGGTAAAGACTGCCACTTTATGGATATCTAAAGCTGTTTCAAGAAGAGGGTTCATTGGAGCACCGTAGTGGATCTGGCAGAAGACATAATATTGACTCAGACTAGCTTCAACTTATGGGGCAAGGTTATGAGGAAAATTACTGGAGCATTGTCATCTTCAGTGATGCAAACAGTGAAAACTACATAGATGTGCTGAATGACGTCATGAAGATGTGCTAGTGAATGATAACGTTCGTGCAGGACAATTGTCTTATGTGTAATGTTCCATAATTGTGCAAGTGTTTAGTCAGCAATCAGACATACGGATTATTCCTTGGCCAGCGAGATAGGAGAAATAGGATCGATAAAAATGGCGGCTACACTAGTTCTTAGAAGAAAAGATATTGTTGACTATAGGATTAAGCAATTACAAGACCGGGGTAGCTATAATTTATTTAATGGATAAATGTTCAAACTTAGTGTTAGTAGGATAAATTTATTGACTACTTTATAACCAGCAACTGTTATGAGTGAGAAATAAAAATAAAAGCAATATTAATATCTACAGATGCTATCGATTGTAAAATAATAAATTATTTATTTATTAATTACTATAAACAATTCGTCCCATATCTAATGAATGCTATATCCCGGTCTTAGAAATGTTATTGATTTAAGGTCTAGCTTCAATTTCTTCCTTGTTCTGGAACGAATACTTAAGCTATGAGCCTTTGTCATAACATGATGCACAAAATGAATCACTTTAGTCAATACTTTAATTAAATTTTATGGGAAGATAAAAAATAGTTGCAGAAGTAAGGTTGCATATTATATAGAATCGTATTATAACATTGTGTTTAAAACTAACTAATAAATGACTAGCATAACACAATTTTGATTTAAAATGCTTACTAATTTTATAAAAAGTGTATTAAATAATGTGTCAGTTAGCTGAAAAGTTATTAGGTCAGGGTATACACTATATAAGAAAGAAATAAATATTATGTTTTAAGAAATAAATGTCTGAAATTATAATGCCACTAAAATAGTTTTATTTGTTATCCTTTATGAGAATTAAACTTAGTATTAGTCCTAATCTGTAAGAAAAATATGTTACTTTTACATTAATAGTTAGCACATATTATAAAAGTTATTAATATATATTTATTAATATAATTTTATTCTAAAATAATATATATATATATATATATATTATTTTAGAATAAAATTATATATATTTATTAATATAATTTTATTCTAAAATAATATATATATATATATATATATTATTTTAGAATAAAATTATATTAATAAATATATATTAATAACTTTTATAATATGTATATATATATATATGTAATATGTATATATACATATATATATATATATATATATATTTATTTTTGTTATCTTTTATAAATATTAAACGTCAAATATTTTATTTATATATTATTATTATCGATTTTATGTAAAAAAACCATTGTTAAAAAACCTGAATTTATAAATGATGACCCGGTATTGAACCGGTGCCCTTCGACTTCATTATTCTATCATTCTTATTCATCAGAGCTATCGATCGTATTTTTATAATGTCGAAAATGCGCGTTAGTTTATAACTTTTATTATTGTCTATTGTTAATTATTGACGCCATCTTTTAATTGGTTTGCTTGACTTGACTTAGATGGCGCTATTTAAGTCCTCGGAAATGAGAAAATTAACATAATTTATGTGTATTTATAATATAAATATATTATTGTTTCTTAATTATTATTTTCACCATTAAAAACCTTATTGTGTGCCTCTGCTGTGTAAAGTACATAAGTACTTTACACAGCAGAGGCACACTTGAATAATCAAGCTTTGCAGTGTTATTTTCATTTAAAAGCAGCGCCATCTAGTTATCAATGGTAGCATTATGCAAAACCTGTCAGTCAATAGTCGACCTTAAGCTCTCCATGCATTTTTGTCACCCTTAGTACATAAGTTGAGAGAATAAGGACATTGTCAACTAAAGTACTGAAATTTTCCACCGTGACGTGGAGATTTGCCGGTGGATTGGATTGAGTTCGAACAAATGGTTTTAGCGGTGTACAGTATTTTAATGTAACTAATATATCATCACCCAACACTCAGGTAGTATATAAGTAAATTATATTTAAGGTCAGTAATATTTATTTTATTACCTATTCTTGTATTTGTTTGATCATTAGAATCATTAGATATTCTGTTACATTGTGATTAGTATTTTTAACAGTAAATCTTAAGTTTAAATTATACTCACTGCAGTATAGTTAGTTAATTGCTACATTATTGAAACTTAATTTAATCAAGGCTGTAACTAATTCACATAGTTTTATAACTACTTAGTAGATGTAATTATTAGCAGGTATCTCGACATAATATAAATAATTTGAGTGTTATATATTAGTGCAAGTCATTGTAAAAATCTAACAAGTTATAAGTAATTTAGAATCGTTTTATGTAATACCTAAGTAGGAATTAGTATTTTAATTAATTTATTGTGCTTATTTATTTAGTTTATATAAAAGTTTACAACATTATACATTGTAGGTAGTTTTACGAGCAATGTACAATATTAATTAATTTACATATTTAGCTTTATATAATTGTTATTAATTTGTAGGTTCTGTGTCGCTTTATAAAAGCATTTCGGCAGTGTATAAAACACAGTTAGGTGTGTCCTTTAGTCATATTGTTTGCTAGGTTTAATTGTATTCCTGTATCAATTCCAGGTTGACAACACTCCTCTCCCAGTATGTCCGAGGAAAGGGATTTAATTAAAAAGCGCGGCAGCTTAAGGGTCGCTTGACTGCTTTCGTCACCTTCCTGGACTCACTCAAGGACAAAGTATTAAGTAGTTGTGATGTGTCCGAGTTGCAGTTGCGCATGGGTAAGATGGAGTCATTGTACGAACAATATGATGAGGTGCAGTTGCGTCTGGAATGTATCGCCGACGATCTTAAGGTACAGAATTCCAGAGCGTTACCGAGTTCGAAGTCACTTTATTACAAAGCGTTGTCCAGAGCGCAAATCATCTCAACGACAGTAACAAAGATGATAAGTCGATGGAAAGCTGTAAAAGTACACTTGCTAGCATACACAAACCCGGTAAAAACTACCAACGATTACAATTACCAAAAGTTTAGCGGTTCATATTGCAATTGGTTGGAATTTCGTGATACCTTCACTAGTCTAATTCATAGTAACGACGAAATTGATGAGGGTTAACAAATTCACTACCTAAGAGCCTCTCTTGAGGGACCTGCTGCCGTCATCATCAAGTCAATTGAGTATTTCTTCGAGCAATTACTCTGTGGCATGGAGTTTGTTACTTGATCGGATTTGACAACAAACGATTATTAGCACAAAATCATGTGTCCTACTTTGTATCACATTGATGCGGTTACAAAGGAGAATCGTCGGTTGCTCTCAAAGGATTACTCGATCAATTAAATAAGGACTTGCGAGCATTAGAGTCGTTAGGTGAGCCTGTAAAGCACTGGGGCACCTTTTTGATATACCACGTCAACTCAAAAAATTGATCATAGGACCTATCGTGAATGGGAGGAGTTTAAGGGTAGGATTGACAAAGAAAGTTCGATTACGTTTGATATGTTCATGCAATTCCTACGCACTCGAGCCGATTTGATCGAGAACTTAGAACGCCTTCGAACAAATAATAATTCTCAAACGGCAGGTAGATCAACCCTAAGATCAAGTCGATGTTGGTTAATCAACCTCATAATAGTTCCAGCATCGAAACAGCTCCCACAGTATGTCCTAAATGTAACAGTAATCACACATTAAATAATTGTCCACAGTTTCTCGCATTAAGCGTTGATGCTCGTATTAAACTTCTACCTACTTATAAGATTTGTTTTAATTGTTTTTCGTTCAGGTCACTTCGCTAACAAATTGTAAAAAAGCCCGGTTGTAAACTATGTAAGCGTAGGCACAACACACTAATTCACATAAATTCTAAAGATAACATTATTGCGAATACACATAGTGTTAATTCGTCTAACAATAACTTGTCTTCATCATCCGTACCGTCTGCTACCACAGACACGAATAACGTTACGTTGTCAGCACACATTGCATCCTCTCAAGGTCATACGCAGCGTGATGTTTTGCTATCGACCGCATTGGTCAAACTACGGGATCAAACTGGCTGTGTGCATGTCGTTCGCTCGGTCCTAGACAGCGGTAGCACTTCGTCATTCATAACGGAACGGTTATGTAAAAAAACTTAATTTATTCACGAGCCAGGTAAACAAATCTATACTTGGCATAAATAATGTTTCTTCGCACGTAGGTAAAACATGTCGAGTTGATATGACGTCTTTGGATGATCATTTTAATTTCAACCTTCATTGTTTGGTTTTGCCATTTATCACGAGTGAGGTACCGTGCCGTGAAATAAATATTAATAATTTCGATATACCTTCGAATATCACTTTAGCTGATCCTAAGTTTTATGAACCCGCTGATGTTGATTTATTAATCGGCGCTGATCTGTTTTTGGAAGTTATTAGGATCACAAAAATTAGAATTAGGTAATGGAAAGCCAATATTATATAAAACCCATTTAGGATGGATAGTTCCGGTCCAATTCTTACTAATGATTTAAAATGTAATTTTTGTAAAGATGTTTCCATGATCATAAATATGTTAGTTCATTTGATTTGCCAGAACAAAGATTATGTGAGAAAGAACCTTCAATTCTGGGAGATTCTTTCAAGAAAGCAACACACTGTTGCCAATCATTAGTCTCGCGGGACTTGCCTGCTTCGATTGGACGTAGATATTGCACCTCACGAGCCCGACAAGTTACTTGGTGTGGGTCGGTATCCCGCTTCCGATGATTTAGGGTTTCCTAAAATTCCGAGCGAGGTCCTTGGCTAGGCATAGTGAACGCGATTTATTATCATTGATACGAAAAGTGATTACATTAGTGCTTTCATTTATTTTAGTCGTTATTATAATTTATTTACTTTAAGATTTATTTAATCATATAGGAAACAATACATTTATTTTTTGTTTCATGTTAATAAAACCCACCTTATCTCATTACAGTCCACTCATCAGTTTACAAAATTATTGTTTAATTTCGAGCATATATGATTGATTGCACGCTGGCCCACATTTGCTATTAGCTCCCATAAGGGAATCGTACTGACCAAGAAGGTCGCAACTTGGCGAAGACTTGTACTCATAAGTGTGTTCCATGTCGCCGCATGAAGGGACGGGTAGTTAGTCCTATACTGGGCAACTTACCACGAGAACGACTTTCGTCCAGGTTATCCCTTTGAGAGCACCGGCGTTGGTTATGCCGAGCCTATTATTGTGTGCTAGTCGTCGGGTGTTGCGGATTCGGGCTGGTGAAGGTGCATGTAGGATTTTTTATATGTTTTCCGATCAAACCCATTCATTTGGTGTCAACTCGGTGGCGATTTAATTAGTAAGGGTTATTTACTAGCGTTGCATCGATTGATTGCTTGAGGAGGTACATAAGCCCGTTGATATTTTTTCGGACAACGGTATCTCATTTATCGGTGCGTGCAATGACCTTTCTCATTTGGTAAAGGAAAATACTTTGGCCTTGGGTGAAGTGCCGCGAATGATGGAATTAAATTTCATTTTTAATCCCTGCGTACATCCCGCACTTCGGTACCTTCTGGGAGGCGAGTGTAGTCAACAAGGTACATCGTCAAGCGAGTGTTGGGATATTGTAATTAAACTTTTAATAAACTGTACACCACACTAACTAAAAATCGAAGCCATTTCGAACTTTCATCCACTAACGCCTTATCTTCAGATCCTGCAGATTGCATACCGCTGACGCGTAACCTTGCTGCAACCTGATTATCCTGTTCCTGCAAGGATGGATTGAAGCTGGACTCCTTAAGTGGCTGATTAAGGAGGATAATCTCCCTCCGTTGAAGTGGAGACTAGGCCGTGTGGTGGCGGTTCACCCAGAAACAGACGACATCGCTTGTGTTGCTGACAGCCAGACGGCCACTGGCATCGTACGATGGGCATTCAATCGAGACATACTTGATGGATTTAGATTAAGTATTCTTCTTGAAGTGTTCGGAATTGTTTTACGACCTTAAAGTTTAAGAATCAGTCAATTTAATGCCCGTGACTCATTCAATGGAAGACTGATTTTAGTAGGTAACAACTTTTGAACTAAACCTCTTAAGACTTTATACCTTTGAAGAAATTCCGAGCTAATTGTCATCAATCGTACTCAATCTTTCCGAAAAATTCTTAGGAATAAGAAATAAGAAATTAAAAAAAATATTTGAAAAAGTTAAAGCGAAATTTATTCGTTACTAAAGACCCTTACGTTACTATTTAATAGATGTTATTATACAGATAAACCTTCCTTTTCAATAAATCTAGCTGTTAAAAAGCCATCAATATCCATTGCGTGGTTTTAAAGATTTAAGCATACATAGGGATATAGGGACGGTGAAAGTGGCTTTGTTTTATAGTCTGTAGTTAAAAAACTTACCTACAAATATGTGCGCCCAACATCCAATATTCCAAGTTTTTCTCAACCTTTATAGCAGCCATAGCATCTCTCATTATATCGGCAGGTTCCGGTCCGACGAACAAATGTAGTTTTAATCCAAAATTCGTTATACTGCGAAGGACCAGCTGATTGTCTCTTCTAACAATCACTTCTGTTGGTGCCATTGTGTCTATCAAGACACCGTGATAGGATCCGTTTGATTTAGCAAAGATTAAAGGAATGGAACTCAACCCTCCTTTATGGTTATAAATAACCTTAACGGTACCTGGTACCAAAGGAATTTCACCCAATCCATAAAGTGTCTCATCTGTAAGTTTAAAAGACATTTCCCAAATGTTCTCTGCTGCTATCAACGGTCCTCGTGCTGTGTTGAAAATTATTCCTTGATTTGAATGTACTATTATGTTAAATTCTGGATGCTTGACTTGGTAGTTGTAATTCTTCTCTTCAATCCTTCGGCCTATTATGTCGTTTGACTGATGGAAGGTTAGTGTGAGATGGGTGGCTGACACTTCGTTGATAGAAAGCCTGATGTTCCTGAGGCTTGTACTTGAATGATAGGGTAGGACGTGAGTTCTTGGTGTCATATTTAATTGTTCGGACCATTCTTCCCGGAGAAGGTAGGAGAATCTTGATGGATATCGGTGGTAGCATAAGCTGTTGCTGTGGTCATAACAGCATTGGGGAGGGCAATCTTCTTGAGGTACCGATTCCTTGCCGCAAGGAAGTCTCGCAACTCTTGCTATTACACAGGATCCCATTGATAGGCCATCTGTTGGAGCTAGTTCAAGTGTTGGGAAGAAAATGTATCGGTACAGTAGAACTGGGATTACTATAGCTACTATAAGCACTGCCACTACTACCCTCAGAGGTCTGTTAAGAAGGATCTGGTCGTACCATTTTACATCTGAAAATAAGGACATAAATAGGTTAGTAATACTTAGAATATGGAGTCTGCTCGTGTCTGCGCTAACATAAATATATTTGAATATATATATAAAGTTAACGACAGGACTCTGCATAGCGTTAAAGATATCATATTATTAATTTGGAAAAGAAAATACAAAAAATCTTCTAAAACAAAAAAAAAAATTGAGCACGTAATTGTGTTTGGACACATGATAATATAATAATATTGAACTCGATTTAAGACGTAATAATAGAATGTAGAACATTGCATTCTAGAAGTCTAAGCTGACGAAGATTCTGAAAACTAGTATTATGATTAGAATTTGTGGAAAATTATAAAGAGTGCAGAAGATTTTACCCGCTCCCTTGCGATGTAGTCTGAATAGCAAATGAGATGTAGTAAACAGATCCTATCTTCATACCAACATATATATCTATATGCATCAACTTAGCTTGGAGAATAAATTATGCAAATCGGATAAACATTAGGCTTGATCCCAGTCATGGTGGCACGTGACTGTTAGCGCTAGGAATGTTTTAAATTGTTTTTTTTTTACGATATAATTATAAGATCTCTATGGATTCATTCGTCGTGCTCTTCTTATTAAAATTATTTTCACTTTTTTAAACTTGTTATTTGTATTGAAGCTAATCAAAGTCAAAGTCAAACTTGAAGGTTACCTATATTTGCAAACTAAGTATTGCAATAGGTATGGTCACTAGTCAATTGTAACAGGTTCAAAATTTATCATTTTAGAAGTTCCTAATGATTTTGACTTTACATCAATGATCACAGTGAATAACTTTTATTTAATGTTAAATTAATATTTTCGAATTTTGTGAGATCAGCATTTTATGAATTATGTATGTATGTATGTTTGTACGTATTTTTATGAAGTGGAATCTTATAACTAAATTTTAAAGTAGGTATGTAAAATAATGTCTTCATCAGATTTAGCTGAAATTTTGTATATGTATAATAATATATAATGCCTTTGCCTTAAATCCCTTAAAATGTCTATAAAGTGTTTAGATTAGTTATAAAAGAATTTTCAATTTAACTGGGTGTGTTCTTCTGAATGTCCACTTATTTATGCATTTATATCTATTGTTATTCATTGTTATCTTAAAAAACATTATTATTTTTACATGACTTTTAAATTGAACTTAAAATTATAAATTAAAACAATCAACTCTTTACTGGTCGTCCAGGCACTGCGTCATAAGGGTAGTTAAAACTTAAGACCAGCAAAGTGATTCTGTAAGACTTCATTCTAAACTTCGAATCTGAATCCGCTGTGAGTAATACAGTAGCGCTACACTTTGAGTGTCGCCACGAGTGGAACTAAATAGACCGCAACATTTTGATAGTTTAACACCCGGTTTCTGAAAGGCTTGTCAATACTAAAAACTAACTAATCTCCTGTTAAATCTCTTGTCAAGTCATCTGATTGGTTGTTGATAATTCAGTCAACCAATCAGATGACTTGACAAGAGTTTAAATTGATTTTAATCGGCCTTTTGATCGGCCTTTCGGAAACCGGGTATCAGTGTGAAATGACGTTAAAAGTGGCAATATACTATAATGTTATTTCCCCGTCACTTCGACGCTCACTTCAAACTCGAACAAGATTCAAAATCAAACAAATTTTATAGAATCGACGTGCAGCTAATTCAATCGTTATTCTATTTAGTCACTTCGACGTAGTACTAGTAGCAGACAATTTTAACAATGGTAAATTCATCTCTAATCACGTCACGTCATATCTAATCACGAGAGTCACCTCTAATCACGCAAGTAGCAGCCTAAAAAGCTAAAATGAGAAAGTACCACGAGGAATTAATAGAATATTAATTCGTTTATTTGTAGCTTGCTTCGGTACGAATAGCCCGGTTACACAGGATTGATACCACGTCCACAGCTTCACAGAATGCCGACGTAAAGCAACAGTTTGAGTTGCCTGTGTGTCATTATTGTGAGGACTGAGGACCACCCTTAGGACACGGTTTAGCAAACGGTGACAGTGTGCCCTGCTGGGGCAGAGCCTCGCCGTGTCGTGCACCATAAAAATACTTCCGTCATGACGGAAATATTTTTTTATGGCGTCGTCATCGTCATGTTAGTTTCGAACCCACTTATTTTCATACTAAGAATGTTTAATACATCATTCGACTTTGCAAATTACTTTCAGAATAGCACTACTGACTTCCTTACGATCATTTCGGCAATGATATTCAGTTCATAAACTATTTTAGTCCCTTTCTGTAAGGTATTACGTAATCTTCCATGATAGTAGGTGGAGAATTACACATCTATGTATAAAAAGGTTGTTGACATTCTATAATATGAAGGAAATTGTTTGATTTTCTTTTGTCTACGAGTTTCTTTTGTTTATTTATTTCATGCTTGGAAGTCCTGCTTTTGTTGTACCTATTGAACGTTTTGGCGGAGACTCCTTAGATTCGATGGATTGTTTAAGTTCGAAGTAAAGAGATAAAATAATTGTTTTGTTTTAGGTACAATTTGAGGCTATTATTTTTCATTAACTGTGTTGTAGTGTGTACCTTCTTAATGTTTTCTTTTTTGTAATTTGTAATATACCTACGTTAGAGGTTTGTAATATGTATTTACGATTTTCATCTTGAACTGTTTTTTTTTTTTGGAAGGTGGAATTTTATTTAATTACTGCTCTCTCGCTGTTTGAGACGAAAGGGAATGTCAGAATCTTACTGACTAAAAACCACCCCATTCCTTCTCCTGCTCTAGGCCGAGGTCGCGGTACCTTATTGCGCTTACCCCGCAACCCCGGCTGAACATCGGCCCTGTAGGGCCCCGTCTATGGTGGTCAATTGGTTCGCAGACCTGCGCTTACGGTGGCCGGAGATCATCTCTCGATCCCCGACACCCGGAATGTAATACAGTGTGTTGGAATACAGAGCATGGGGAATCGGTATTATTCGCTTTTTACAATGTTTTAAATTTTTCATTTGACAATTTGAAAATAAGATTTTTCATGTTACTAACATTTGTGCTTTAACCAACAATTAGTCATCGTCATATGTTTGTTAATTTACAAAACGCCATGCAAAGATTTTCGTGTGAAACGAATTCATTAATCAGCGGAGTTTTAATTAATACTCTTGTAATAAGCTTAATTTATTTTATATACAACACTGGTGGCTACTGTTGCGTTAAACGTTCAGCGTTTTTAATTAAATGACACATTTATTTAGGTAGTCTCTTTTATGTAGATGTAGTAACTTCGTGGCTGCGGGGCAAGCGCAGTATGGTACTGGAGGTTTTTTAGTCAGTAAGAATCTGACTCTCCCCCTCTCCTCACAATGGGTGAGGGAAGTAATTTGATAACTTTCCCACCTCTAAGAATGATGCTTATGTTTTTAAAGACCGTCTATTAATCAATCTAATTGTCAATTTAAAGTATGTCACACGTATGTTATTTATTCTTTTTTTTATATTATTTTCTGCCAGCTAGCCGGAATTTCAGTACTTTATAGACTTTTTTTTATAAGTCGGCAAACTAGCAGACGGATTACCCGATGGTAAGCAATCGGCGCCGCCCATGGACACCCGCAACACCAAATGAGTTACGAGTGCGTTGCCGGCCTTTTGGGGATAGGGGTTGCGGATAAAAGGATCGGGAAGGGATAGGGGAAGGGGAGGGATTGGGCCTCCGGTAACCTCACTCACAAGGCGAAACACAACGCTGGGTTATTTCACGCCGGTATTCTGTAAGGCCGTGGTATCACTCCGGTCGAGCCGACCCATTCGTGCCGAAGCTTGGCTCTCCAACACTTAAAAAAGACTTAATAGAAACGTCAAAATAGAATAGTAGTCTGCAAGTCTGTTCGTCAGTGAAGCTAGGTCATCAATCATCAGCATATTTGTTGTATTAACTATCTCTTGGCCATTGTAAGTACATTTTGACATTATTATAAAACTCTACCACTCTATCTATTAAAAATACCATATCAAAATTGGTTGCGTAGTTTTAAATATTTATGCATACTTATAAAGCGACTTTGTTCAATAGATATTACGTAGTGATTTTTAGTATTTTTAATACGACAAATATGTGTTTTTTTTATAAATGAACTAATTCACTGAATGTTTATTAATACATTTCATTTTTAAACCCACGAAATGGACATGTAATTTACACATAAAATATTATAGGGTCATGTTAAGCAGTGGTTTCATTTTACTACGCAATTTGTTCCCTGCCATCCTCTCTATTCTATTCTATTCTATTCTATTCTATTCTGTCGCATCCATCAGCGTATGTGGACGAAGGATCGATGAACTTGCTAAACAGTTTTAACCAGTGACGGATTAATGAAAACAGGGCCCATAAAAAAACTATTGAGGGGCCCTTGAACTTATACATGGTGTTCCTGAATGTTAGTAAAGATTGAAATTAACAAGAACGCGGGAAAAGGCTTTTACACACTTTTTAGCTTTGAAGCCTATAAGTATTATTGTGGTGACTTGGTGGTAACCGCGATTAGCTGACTTGCATTTTTTACGAAATACCGACACGTGATCGCATTATTCACCAGTCGCTTACGTTATGCCGCACTGCCTCGACACATACATATTCCATAGTATATAATATAATGCATGTATACATAATATGTTGTTAGTTATAACAGTGTGGAATCAGAATTCTTGATTTCTATGAAATAAACGTCTTTAACATTTATTTCATTCATTCAGTTTTCCTATAATCATCTCACAGTACATGGAATATAGACAACATTATAAATAAAAAATGCGTGATAATGGAAGACGAGGGTATTACGAGTGATGTCATCCCGATATTTTCCACATGTGTCGTAAGAGTCGACTAAGGGGCATAAGGGATATCTAAAAGAAACCACAGCAAAAATTCCTGATAAACCTTATCCTTTTAAACCCTAATCCAACCTCCTTGCTAAGGATGGAGCTTATAGCAATTAGGTAAGAGAAGAGGACTTTTT